CAGGGGACGAGCCTCATGCGAGCGCGCCTGCCGTACTTGGATGTGCCTTTGGTTCTCCTTTTTCGTGGGGCTGTGGAGTCAATCGTCCACTTGCCGTAAGATCTTGCGCTGCTTCTTGCGGGTGCTCAGGATGGATTGACCCAGGGTTTTGGGAATGAACCTGGGGTCCATCCAACTCATTCCCTGCCTATCGAACCAGCAAGACTTTTGCTTGACGACGGTTTTCAGTGCCGTTATGTTGGCTCCCGCCCGTTTTGGCGGTTCTACCGCGGGCTCAACCAACGCGATCTCACCAATGGTAAAGGAATGAGTTTTGCTTTCTTAGGATGTTGTGTTTTTGCAATCGGTGGTGGGGTCGGTGCAAATTGGTTTGTGCCTCTTTTTGCTGGAGAAGGATTAAAGAATTGAAATCTTTGATTTCACAACGTTTGGCTGAACATGCTGAGCTAGGTCGAGCATTGTGCGGTGCGAGCCCATCAATCCCTAAAAGGCGCGGATTTCCTCCAGGAGGAAGTGTCCGGCTGTTCGAAGCTGATGCCCTTCGGGCATGCGCATAGCGGAGGGGCCCATTTGGCCGTCAACCAACACCAATGGGATCCCATTGTGGGGTAGGTGAGTTCACCACCCATTTTAGAACCTGGCGGGGATTTGTTCACTTGGGGTACGATCTGGCTTTTGGCCCATGGCCATTTGGGTCAAGTTCCTTTGAGACAGGCTGCGTCTCCACGCGCTTTGCATGCGTCTCCCGGTGCCCGGTAGCTCCTTGTGGTTAACTCAGCTAAGCCGACCTGTTTTCACCTTTTGGTTCTCCATTTTGGTGCATCTTTAGTCATGACCCCAAGAGGTGGTTACCTTTTAGTTCCAGGTCCCTAAGGGGCAACTGAGCTAAAGCCCTGGTTCTTTCAAAGGCCCCGACGCCTCGGTGCATGGCCCCCAAGGCCCCAAGGCCAGCATGCCTGGCACATCTTCCGCTTTCATGATCATTTCTCCACTTGGTGGCTCCCAGCCATCCGGTTCCTTAGCTTTTAAGCCTTTTAGTGTTTAGCCGTAGTTTCCATTAACCCGCTAAAAGTTAGTCACTTTTAGCGGGGGATCTGAGGGCAGCGGTTGCCGGAACGATGAGCCCCGCGCCAGCAACGGCCGTGCCGGAGCTGAGGCGTGTAGCGACAACAACTTTGTGAAGCCCCCAGTTCGGATGCCCTACGCAGATCACGTGACGTGAAGGAGGCGCGGAGCGGGGAGTTCGTGTACTTTTGGTTTCAGGCTCGGGGCTGTAGCTCTTGCAAGAATCCATTTCATGTTCCATTGGACTGAACGGGTGGGATACAGACGTGTGCATGGTGCGTAGGGCCATGCTGAAACCACGACTATTTCAACAGCCTCCTTTTTTCTGGTTGTTCGAAGACATTTTTTGCCCAAGCCTGATCAAACATGCACCCATACTCCATTGTAAGATAGCACCGTTTGTCGCGAAACACCACCTGTTGCTCACGAACCGGTGCAAGCAGCGTGATTAAGAGATTCGACGCACAGCTTGGGGACATTTGGGCACCTCTTGTCCCAAACCAAGCTGCCAGCACGGACAATTACAGCTTCAGACCAGGCCGTTGGTTATGAGCCGCAGGCACATGGATGGCAGGCCAGAAATTACAGCAATCGCAACTGGACAGAAGTGCCATTCTTGCTACACCATTTGTTTGCTGCTGGTGTTAAGCAAGACACGTCCATTTGCTTGAAGTCACCACTGTAAGTCGGACGCGCTCACAGAGTAGCTTTTTACCAGTTCTTTTCAGTGCAGGCAATCCGTTGCAATAGCTTCAGCGAAAAAGGGTGGCCCTCAAGCACGTTGAGACGCCGATGTAGGTGCTATCCGGAAGCACAAAGAGGATCAGGCCCGTTACTGCGTGCTGCCACCCCTGCGAGCGATGATTGGACTGACATTCAAACCATAAAGAATCAGGGCCCTTGGTATGTGCTGAGCTTTGGCGATTGGCTGGTCAACGAACCCCAGGCAGAATCGAACCATGCTACTTCGGTGTCGCTGAGCATGCTGGTTTTAGTAGCAGCAGCTTTCGTTGGACCGCCTGACTGTAAGGGAGACAGAGAGAAAGAGAGCGAGAGAAACAAACAAGAGGGAGGGAGGGAGGGAGGGAGGGAGGGAGGGAGGGAGGGAGGGAGGGAGGCAGGGAGGGAGGGAGGGAGGGAGAGGGGTTCATTCCCCAGATAGCTGAAAGCTATAGGGGTTCTAACTTCTAATAAAGAGGGGAAAGTGATTTGCGAGAATGACGGGCTGGTGTTGGGGGGCGTGCGGTTTGGGGTGCTGGTGTAGGTGCTGATTGGGTGCTGTGCGAGGTGCTGATGGCAGTGCGGTCGCATCTTTTCAAAATTGATGGTAGGCTGCTAGGGGGCATGCAGTTTGGGGTGCTTGTTCAGGTGCTGTTTTGGGGGGTGACGGTGCGCGCGTATTTTTGCATCTTGACGGTAGGACGCAGGGGGGAATGCAGTTTGGGGTGCTGCTGCTGATGGGCTCTGATGGGCTGTGGGACGCAGTTTGCGGGGAGCTGTTTGAGGTGCTGGTGACGGTGCGGGCGCATCTTTGCGATATTGACGCTTGGGTGCTATCGGGCATGCAGGTGATGGTGCAGGTGCAGGTTTGCATCTTGACGGTAAGGTGCAAGGGGGCATGCAGCGTACGTGGTTTGGGTTTCTGTTTGGGGTGCTGGTTGTTTTTCGCAAGATTCACGGCTGGGTGTCTTGGGGGGTGCTGTTTGGGGTGCTTTTCAGAGTGATGGTGCGGGCGCATTTTGCTTGATTGACGGCTGGGTTTTGCTTGGGGAGGTGCTGGTGTGCCAGCACTGCTAGTTGGGGTCTATGCTGGTGTGATTTTGTTGTTTTGTTCATTCCCCAGATGGCTGAAAGCTTATAGGGATTCCAACTTCTAACAAAGAAGGGAAAGTGATTTGCGAGATTGCCGGCTGGGTGCTAGGCGCACTTTTGCAAGGTTGACGGTAGGGTGCTAAGGGGCATGCAGTCTGCGGTGCTGGCGCAGGTGCTGTTTTGGGATGGTGTTTGGGGTGCTGTTTGAGCTGGTGACGGTGCAGGTGCATATTTGCAAGATTGACGGCAGGGTGCTAGGGCCATGTAAGTTGGGGATTCTTTTGCAGATGCCCCAGTATTTTGGGATGCTGTTTGGGGTATTGAATTCTTCGGGCAGTGCTGTTGCGGGTGCTGGCGTGTAATCGTTCGCACATGTTTCGCTACCTTGGGGTCTATGCTGCTGCATTTTTGAAGTAGGGGGCTGCAAAACACAGTCAGTTTCTTGCACGTACCCAGGGTTGTTTTCAGTGAATGGAGCTTTGGGGTGGCCACCTCTAGCCAGGCTGCCAAAGATCAAGCAGCCTGAGAGTGAGCCGGCGAGCCCCATGGCGGAAACCGAGCCCTGAGGGTCCACAACAAAATGTCCTGTAGTCAACGCCCGGATGTATACACACACACATATATATATATATATACATATTTACACATGTATATATATATTTATACATATGTATCTATGCATGTATGTATGTCTATATAGCTATATGTGTGTGTACATTCATATACACAAGGTGGAAACGCACCATTGATCGATGATACTTGTCGTGCATTTGCACGTTCAGCGGGGTGTTTGTACTTGTGTTTGGGGTGAAAGTGCGTGTCTGGAGGGAGCTTCTTGGGAGTTTGGCCGATACGACAGTAGTGATAGCGATTGGACAAGACACAGGCAATGCCAGTGGAATCAGCAGGAGTTTGTGTCGTTGATGACGGTGCTGCCGCTCGGAGCACCGCACGGGAAGCGTTCCGAATCTAACACCTCGCATCGACAAGACCGAGGGTGGGCCCCTGATGAAAAGAAACAAAAACTAAAACAACCTATAATAAAGCACGAAAGCACATTCCACTCCCAAGCGGGGAAAATAACAGGGGTCCTATATTTCCCATTTTTGTGGTTTTAAGCATCACCTTTTTGGCCCACGAAAGGTGAGTATCCCTTGGTGGGGGTGGTGTTTTAAGGGGAAACAGAGGGAGCCCTGAATAAGCCATCAAATTGAACGAGTACAACCGTTGCTGATGAGGGCTTGGGCTTTCAGGTGCCATGACTACACTCGCAGGATGTAATTTTTATTCATGTGAACAGCTCATGGGATTCGATTGCGCGCTTTCTTGCCTGCTGAATGTGTCCCTCATCTGGGGCTGTCATCCTTTTTGGTCTGGTTTAGTCTGGACAGTTTCTGTGACTGATGCAATCATTTCTCCATGACGCGATCGGATCCCATGGGCGGCGACTGTACAGTCTGACGCGGCATCCAAAGGATGGGCCCATTTCGTCCAGACGCACCCACACGGGAGGCAAGTGAAAGGGTGGTGGCTTGCAGGCTTGGCAGGCTTCAACAGCTTGCGCAATATTGGATCCATTTGCTTAAGAGTAGTTGTTATTTGCTCTGGTGTTAAGTTGATTCTATCACTACTGGACGTATTTTTATATTTCTTCGAGGGAACTTGAGCAAATGAGAGCTTCAATGCCGCATTGCCCTTGCTTTGTGACTACCTGATGGCCCCATGCGCGGCAAGCGCATGGGATTCATGAGCGTTACATGCCCTGCCCTTTTCAATCGATAGACGCACATGTGACATTCCTTTCGCCAATCGCATCCTGATTCCAGGGATTCCAGAGATCAGTTCGAGCCAGGCGTGGCTTTAGGATCGATGTATGAACAACATGGCCGCTGTAGAAATCATATTCGTTCACCCGTGCAGTGAGTGAAGATTCTTGGCCGAGCGCGGTTTTTGCAGCATGCAAAACCTGCACCATTTGAGGTTTGTTGCGTGCACGTTTTGCGGAGCACAAGGGTCCGTGCCATAGGTTTGTCAGTTTGGTCATAAGTAGGTGGCACTAGTTGTTCTATGTCCATCTAGGCTTCCCCATTTTAGCACCAGACGACCTCTGTGTTTGTGTTCAGGGCGGCTTCATCTCGGCGCCGGACATGGCTGCTTGGCATGAAATTCTGTGCACCCGAGGTGCTTGGGTATGGACATTATCTTAGATTTGGGGGAGTGGAACATCATTTCACAGAATTGGAACATGAATTCATAAAGTACTTTGTTTGCGGTGGGCGAGGCATGAGATGACACGGTTTGACGCAAGCAAGTGATTCCTGAGCCAAATTGGATACAGGCTTGTTGGGGCGCATGCTCGTACGGGTTTGTCCTAAACTAGTGGAACCCACCAATGGGTGGTTTCACGCTCCCTTCAGCCCCAAGGGCACCCTGAAAAGACTTCAAGTATCCCATGGAGCCTTTCTGGGCACCGCGTTGCGCAAGGCCCGGCGAGTGCAGGAGCTGGATTTGGAGGTGGGCACCTCGCTATTGCAGAGTCGTGAAATCGGTCTCATGTGGCTGCTAAGGGTCTTTGGTGCATTTTTGCTTGGATGTTAGGACTTTAACTTTTTGGCAACTAATGGGTTTTCCAGTAAACCACTAAAAGTTAAACTTTTAGCAAGGGAGCAGAAAGCAACCGAGGGGTGTCATGCTGCCTATGCTGCCTCTGCCTGCGCATTCGTGCTGCTTGTCATTTTCTGAGTCGTACGGAGCTTGCGTTGGATTGGTCGATTGGTCAGTCACATGGCAAGCACAGCTCTTCCCTTTTCCAACTCCAAGCCTTGCCACATGCGCGAGGTGCCGCATGTTCCACAGGCCCAGTCACAATCAACAGATTCCAGCAAAAGAGGTGCAGCGAGCATGTTGCAGTCACGGGTTTTGTTGGGAGGACATACGGGAGCAACTCGCATTCCCGCCAAAACCCGTGCCGGGGCCACCACTTTCTTGGGGCAACATTCTTGTTTGTTGCCTTGGGAATTCACCGTGTGCCTTCCGTTCCGAAGGATCGGCTTCCGCCGGGCTCGGTTTGGACCTCGGCGGCCAAGGCCCGGATCGAAGCCTGCAGGTTTGTGGACTACTACCTGCTGCCGGCTCCTCAGTTGGCCGGGTTTTTGCAAAGACCCAGTTGCAACCAGTGGATTCTGCCCCCTTTTTGAACAACTTTTGGGACGGCTTCCTGCTGAAACTCAACCAACCTACAGGATGCCCTTTTTTCCCCTGGCCACTGGGCATCTGCGAAGATAGATGGTCTTCTACGAAACCGCGCGCTTCACCAGTCATTTTCTGAGCGAGCATAGGTAATTAACCCGCAAAGGGGCGACCTTTTCAAAATCTCTGGTTGAAGCATCTTTCGGACGTGTCATGCCTGGGGTCAGGTCATTGGTCATTCGAAATGAGGCGTGTTGGATTTGTTTTGTGCCAAGCGCCAGGATTTGTTTTTGCCCAGAGCCCCCAATGGCCCAAGGGAGCCACAGAACTTCCATTTGCTTAAGACTTTATTATTATTATTATTATTTTTTCCCCTGTTGCTTTTAAAGGGAATCTATCACTACTGGACGGTTGTTTTTTTGTTGCTTTTTCCAGGGGTCTTAACCAAATGGAAGAGAAAAAGCAAACGTCTTCGCTAGGCCAGGCAGGTCGAAGATGCAGCTCACGCAGCGCCGGCGTGTTTTGGTTTGGGTCCCACGCCAAAACCTCGCGCCGTGGCGAGCGTGGCACATTGAACTCAGTCATGACATGCCCTGGGTAGACTCAGTTGTCAAAATCCCACCTTTTGACCTCTTGGCTTTCCCTTTTTGGTACCCAATTTTAGTCACGACCCCAAAAAGTGATCGCCTTTCATTTCCAGGTCCTTAGGGCAAGTGTGTGGAGGAAAATCTTATTGGGTGAAGTCCTTCGCGATACCTCTTTCTCGAAAGGCATCTTGGGGGCGCCTGGCTTGACGCGGCGCTTGGCCAACCGGGATCTAGCCTAGGTCCCCTAGCTAGGTGCCCTTCTCTCCCCTTTTTTGGTTGGGAGGGTTCCCCTACGAAATTAGACTACAGACAAAAGGAGGACCTAGTACCTAAGCCTTCTTGGCAAAACGGAAAGTGACTGCATTTCAATCATGGCCTCCACGTTTGCCCATGTTCGCGAAGGGGCACAAACAGGTCATGCGAACGGGCATGTGAACTTGGAGGCCTTTGGGGGGGCGGTCTGGATATGCACATGTATATCCGTGTTTTTCTTCTCATACTTAAGACGCGCATTGCGCGTTTGCCTTACCGTTTTTGTTTACCAGGCAACCCCTGCGTTGGTGGTTTGCATTTTTGGTTGGGGATTTGAGCCCCTGGGGTTTGTAGAGGGCGAATGGGAAGCTCCTCCTTGACCACCAAGCAACCCGGTCCAAACCACCAATTGGAAGCTGAACACACAAATGTACATATGTATATACGCATATGCATAATTAGATAGATAAACACATACAATCACATTGTTATAAACATATATGTTATATTTAAGGGCTGCCGCCCAGTGCCGCCGACCCCAAACCAGTGTGGGAATGGCTGAAATGAACGGGGCCGCTTCAAAATGGGACCGCGATGGGTCCCCTATTGTAGCCAGGGTGCGGTGCATTTTTGCTTTGCTTTCGCATGAAAATGCACCGCTTTTATGATGATGATGATGATGATGATGATGATGATGATGATGAACTGACATGATAATCATCATGACGCATCCTCAGCATCACCAGCAGTCATCATGATAATAATGTCCACGCATCTTCTGCATCTCAAATCGGCTCTAATGGGACTGATGATGATGATCATCATTAGCACCGTGATGATGATGATGATGATAATGATGATGATGATGAGCTGGCATGATAATCATCATGACGCATCCTCAGCATCACCAGCAGTCATCGTGATAATGCGCTTTGATTGGCACGCTTCCATAGAACCTGCACCCATTCTGGAGCGATCGTTTTCTTTCCTTGGCTTGGTGCATTTTTGTAAGAATCTGGTAAGAAAATGCGCCGCTGTAAGTGCCTACAATTCTGCTGCTGCTGGGAGCATGTGCCGTGACGTTGCGTTTGCAGTAGAGGCTTATCGCCGGTCACCCCGCAAGCCAACCAGTTTTCTCGCCGCAAGTCGGGGCCGCGATGGGTCCCTTATTGTAGCCAGAGCGCGGTGCATGATGATGATGATGATGATGCTGAACTGACATGATAATCATCATGACGCATCCTCAGCATCACCAGCAGGCATCATGATAATTATGTCCACGCATCTTCTGCATCTCAAATCGGCTCCAACGGGACTCATGATGATGATCATAATGATGATGATGAACTGGCATGATAATCTCATGACGCATCCTCAGCATCACCAGCAGTCATCATGATAATCATGTCCACGCATCTTCTGCATCTCAAATCGGCTCTGATGATGATGATCATGATGAGCACCGTGATGATGATGATGATGATGATGATGATGATGATGAACTGAGATGCTGGTCATTATCGTCATCATCATCATCATCATTGTCATCATCATCGTCGTCACCATCGTCATCATCATCGTCATCATCATCGTCATCATCATGGATGATAACCATCATCCTGCATCCTCTGCATCACCTCGTTATCGTCATCATCATCGTCATCATCATCATCGTCATCATCGTCATCATCATCGTCATCATCATCGTCATCATCATGGATGATAACCATCATCGTGCATCCTCTGCATCACCAGCAGTCATATGTCTACGCATCCTCTGATGGTGGTCATTATCGTCATCATCATCATCATCGACATCATCGTCATCATCATCATCGTCATCATCGTCATCATCACCGTTGACATCATGGACGATAACCATCATCGTGCATCCTCTGCATCACCAACAGTCATGATGATAATCAGGACTACGCACCCTCTGCATCTCCAATCGGCTCTAACGTCAACCTTGAAACGTATATAAAAAGATAAGGACTTCAACGATTTGATGTGATATAATGACAAGCGTGTCATCATCATCATCGCCATCATCATCAGCATCATCCTCGTCATCATCACCATGCATGATGGTCATCGTCATCGTCACCATCAGCAGCATCATCATCATCATCGTCATCGTCATCATCACCGTTGTCATCATGGACGATAACCATCATCGTGCATCCTCTGCATCACCAACAGTCATGATGATAATCATGACTACGCACCCTCTGCATCTCCAATCGGCTCTAACGCTACCCTTGAAACGTATTTAAAAAAGATAAGGATGACAACATCATGTCTCTTATGGGACTGATGATGATGATCATCATTAGCACCGTGATGATGATGATGATGATGATGATGAACTGGCATGATAATCATCATGACGCATCCTCAACATCACCAGCAGTCATCGTGATACTGCGCTTTGATTGGCACGCTTCCATTTTCTTTCCTTGGCTTGGTGCATTTTTGTAAGAATCTGGTAAGAAAATGCGCCGCTGTAAGTGCCTACAATTCTGCTGCTGCTGGGAGCATGTGCCGTGACGTTGCGTTTGCAGTAGAGGCTCATCGCCGGTCACCCCGCAAGCCAACCAGTTTTCTCGCCGCAAGTCGGGGCCGCTATGGGTCCCCTATTGTAGCCAGGTGCGGTGCATTTTTGCTTTGCTTTCGCGTGAAAATGCACCGCTTTTATGATGATGATGATGATGATGATGATGAACTGACATGATAATCATCATGACGCATCCTCAGCATCACCAGCAGTCATCGTGATAATAATGTCCACGCATCTTCTGCATCTCAAATCGGCTCTAATGGGATGATGATGATCATCATTAGCACCGTGATGATGATGATGATGATGATGATGAACTTGCATGATAATCATCATGACGCATCCTCAGCATCACCAGCAGTCATCGTGATAATGCCATTAGAGCCGATTTGAGATGCAGAAGATGCGTGGACATGATTATCATGATGCCTGCTGGTGATGCTGAGGATGCGTCATGATGATTATCATCATCATCATCATCATCATCATAAAAGCGGTGCATTTTCACGCGAAAGCAAAGCAAAAATGCGCCGCGCCCTGGCTACAATAGGGGACCCATCGCGGCCCCGACTTGCGGCGAGAAAACTGGTTGGCTTGCGGGGTGACCGGCGATGAGCCTCTACTGCAAACGCAACATCACGACGCATGCTCCCAGCAGCAGCAGAATTGTAGGCACTTTCAGCGGCGCATTTTCTTACCAGATTCTTACAAAAATGCACCAAGCCAAGGAAAGAAAACGATCGCTCCAGAATGGGCGCAGGTTCTATGGAAGCGTGCCAAGCAAAGCACGATGATCATGATGATGATGATGAACTGACATGATAATCATCATGACGCATCCTCAGCATCACCAGCAGTCATCATGATAATCATGTCCACGCATCTTCTGCATCTCAAATCGGCTCTGATGATGATGATCATGATGAGCGCCGTGATGATGATGATGATGAACTGAGATGGTGGTCATTATCGTCATCATCATCATCATTGTCATCATCATCATCGTCAACATCGTCATCATCATCGTCATCATCATGGATGATAACCTTCATCGTGCATCCTCTGCATCACCTCATTATCGTCATCGTCATCATCATCATAGGATGACGATGATGATGACGATGATGACGACGATGATGACGACGATGATGATGATGACACGCTTGTCAGTATATCACATCATAATCCTTGTCGTGCTTATATCTTCTTATATACAACGTCACCCTTGAAACGTATATAAGAAGATATAAGCACGACAAGGATTATGATGTGAGAAACTGACAAGCGTGTCATCATCATCATCGTCGTCATCATCTTCGTCATCATCGTTCGTCATCATCATCGTCGTCCTGGTTGATAACCATCATCGTGCATCCTCTGCATCACCAGCAGTCATGACGATAATCACATCTACGCACCCTCTGCATCTTCAATCATGATGATGTGATGATGAGCATGTCATCATCATCATCATCATCGTCATCATCGTCATCATCATGGATGATAACCATCATCGTGCATCCTCTGCATCACCAACAGTCGTGATGATAATCACGACTGCGCACCCTCTGCATCTCCAATCGGCTCTAGAGCCGATTGGAAATGCAGAGGGTGCGTAGTCATGAGTATCATCATGACTACGATGACGATGATGGTGACGATAATCACCACCATGGGTGATGATGACATGCTCATCATCACGTTGCGACCTGATTGAAGATGCAGAGGGTGCGCAGATGTGATTACCGTCACGACTGTTGGTGATGCAGAGGATGCACGATGATGGTTATCAACCAGGATGACGATGATGATGACGATGATGACGACGATGATGACGACGATGATGATGATGACACGCTTGTCAGTATATCCCATAATTTTCCTTGTCGTGCTTATATCTTCTTATGTACGTTTCGTTAGAGCCGATTGGAGATGCAGAGGGTGCGCAATCGTGATTATGATCACGACTGTTGGTGATGCAGAGGATGCACGATGATGGTTATCATCCATGATGATGACGATGATGATGACGATGATGATGATGATGAGTTATGACGAGGATGGTGACGATAATCACCACCATGGGTGATGATGACATGCTCATTATCACATCATCATTGTCGTCATGACTGCTGGTGATGCAGAGGATGCACGATGATGGTTATCAACCAGGATGACGATGAAGATGACGATGATGACGACGATGATGGCGACGATGATGACGACGATGAATGATGATGACACGCTTTTTCAAGGGTGACGTTAGAGCCGATTGGAGATGCAGAGGGTGCGTAGTCATGATTAGCATCACGACTGATGGTGATGCAGAGGATGCACGATGATGGTTATCATCCATGATGATGACGGATGATGATGACGATGATGATGATGACGATGACGATAATCACCACCATGGTGATGATGACATGCTCATCATCACATCATCATTGTTGCGACCTGATTGAAGATGCAGATGCGTAGATGGATTATCGTCATGACTGCTGGTGATGCAGAGGATGCACGATGATGGTTATCAACCAGGATGACGATGATGATGACGATGATGATGACGATGATGACGACGATGATGATGATGACACGCTTGTCAGTATATCGTTCAAGGTGAGCGTAGATGTGATTACCGTCATGAGTGCTGGTGATGCAGAGGATGCACGATGATGGTTATCAACCAGGATGACGATGATGATGACGATGATGACGACGATGATGACGACGATGATGATGATGACACGCTCATCATAATCCTTGTCGTGCTTATATTTTTTTGTCTACGTTTCAAGGGTGACGTTAGAGCCGATTGGAGATGCAGAGGGTGCGCAGTCATGATTATCATCACGACTGTTGGTGATGCAGAGGATGCACGATGATGGTTATCATCCATGTCTCAGTTCATCATCATCATCATCATCACGGTGCTCATCATGATCATCATCATCAGAGCCGATTTGAGATGCAGAAGATGCGTGGACATGATTATCATGACTGCTGGCGATGCTGAGGATGCGTCATGATGATTATCATGTCAGTTCATCATCATCATCATGATCATGATCATCAGTCCCGTTAGAGCCGATTTGAGATGCAGAAGATGCGTGGACATGATTATCATGATGCCTGCTGGTGATGCTGAGGATGCGTCATGATGATTATCATGTCAGTTCAGCATCATATCATGACTGCTGGTGATGCAGAGGATGCGCGATGATGGTTATCATCCATGATGATGACGATGATGATGATGACGATAATGACCACCATCATGGTGACATCACATCATCATCGTTGTGACCTGATTGGAGATGCAGAGGATGCGTAGACATGATTATCTTGACTGTTGGTGATGCAGAGGATGAACGGTGATGGTTATCATCGATGATGATAACGGTGATGATGACGAGGATGATGCTGATGATGATGATGACGATGATGATGATTACACGCTTGTCAGTATAGAGCCGATTGGAGATGCAGAGGGTGCGTAGTCATGATTATCATCATGACTGTTGGTGATGCAGAGGATGCACGATGATGGTTATCGTCCATGATGACAACGGTGATGATGACGATGACGATGATGATGATGATGCTGCTGATGACATGCTCATCGTCATCACATCATCGAGGATGATGCTGATGATGATGACGATGATGATGATGACACGCTTGTCATTATATCACATCAAATCGTTTCAAGTCCTTATCTTTTTATATACGTTTCAAGAAGGGTGACGTTAGAGCCGATTGGAGATGCAGAGGGCGCGTAGTCATGATTATCATCATGACTGTTGGTGATGCAGAGGATGCACGATGATTGATGATGACGATGATGATGATGACGATGATGTCGATGATGATGATGATGACGATAATGACCACCATCAGAGGATGCGTAGACATGGTTATCATCATGACTGCTGGTGATGCAGAGGATGCACGATGATGGTTATCATCCATGATGATGACGATGATGATGACGATAATGACGATGATGATGATGACGAGTTTGATAACCATCATCGTGCATCCTTTGCATCACCAACAGTCCAATCGGCTCTAACGTCATCATCATCATCGTCGTCATCATCGTCGTCATCATCGTCATCTATCATCATCATCGTCATCATCATCGTCATCATCATCATCATCGTCATCATCATCGTCATCATCATGGATGATAACCATCATCGTGCATCCTCTGCATCACCAACAGTCATGATGATACTCATGACTACGCACCCTCATCATCGTCGTCATCATCGTCGTCATCATCGTCATCATCATCGTCATCCTGGTTGATAACCATCATCGTGCATCCTCTGCATCACCAGCAGTCATGACGGTAATCACATCTACGCATCCTCTGCATCTTCAATCAGGTCGCAACAATGATGATGTGATGATGAGCATGTCATCATCACCCATATCGTCACCATCGTCGTCATCATCATCGTCGTCATCGTCATCATCACCGATGATAACCATCATCGTGCATCCTCTGCATCACCAACAGTCATGATGGTAGTCATGACTACGCACCCTCTGCATCTCCAATCGGCTCTATCGCCCTTGAAACGTATGTATATAAAGAGATAAGAACGACAACATCATGTCTACGCATCCTCTGCATCTTCAATCAGGTCGCAACAATGATGATGTGATGATGAGCATGTCATCATCACCATGGTGGTGATTATCGTCATCATCATCGTCATCATCGTCATCATCACCGTTGTCATCATGGATGATAACCATCATCGTGCATCCTCTGCATCACCAACAGTCATGATGATAATCATGACTACGCGCCCTTCCCGTGCGCCTCCCCCTTTGAGGAGAAGGGGTCGGCGGATATATAATATTTTACACATGTGCAAATATATGTATACATAAAAACAAAACAAAAAATGTAGACATGTATACGCACATGCATGCATGCATACAGACATACAGACATACACACATACACACATACACACATACATGCATACAAGCATGCGTACATGCGCACATACATACATACATACATACATACATACATATATACATACATATATACGTACATACATACATACATACATACCAACCAACCAACCAACCAACCAACCAACCAACCAACAAACATACCATACCATACCATACCACACCACACCACACCACACCACACCACACCACACCACACCACACCACAGCACACCATACCATACCATACCATACCATACCATACCATACCATACCATACCATACCATACCATACAGACATACACACATACATACATACATACAAACATACAAACATACAAACATACAAACATACAAGCATACAAACATACAAACATACATACATACATACATACATGCATACATGCATGCATACATACATGCATGCATACATACATACATACACACCTACACATACGCACATACACACATGCATACAACCATGCACACATACACACATACACCATAGACATATGCATATACATATCCACATATGTATACCTGTTTCTACAAAGGTGCAGCCAAGCGCAAGGGCCCGTTTCCAGCTTGAGTTCAGCTTTTGGGCTCATGGAAAGCCAGGAAGGAGCTCTTCGGGTCTCTGGTGGGCTCCGAGGTCTTCCCGCGGGAGGCGAAGGGGTTGGTAGGGGCGGCCGGGGGGCGGGGCCTGGGCGGGCTGGGGGCGAAGAACCTGGGGCCATTTTGGGGTCCCATCATGCGCATTTTAGGTCCGGGATAAGGGATGGCAGGGATTCTTTGGTTTGCCTCCCAAAGTGGCAGTTTCGAGGGAACACCACCAATAAATGGATCAACTTTTGAAGGGGAATCCAGTGACGCCTGTCATTTTGAGACATACCCATATCTTATGTTTGGTGCCTCGCGCGCGCGTCATTCTTGCGCATAACATGGGGGGCGGGGGGGGGGCTGATTCCCGGAATGGGGCCTCGGAGAAGCATTGCTTGGGCAAGACTCTGAGCTTCAGGTGCTGTGTGGCCCCGGCACCAGATGAGGGGTTTCACTCTGTCCGAGCTGGGCTTTAGGGGCCGTCAACCCCACCCCGGGCCCCCACTGCCGCATCGGATGCGGCGGTGCCACTTGGTCCGAAAGGTTGCAACTTGCAAGTCGATCGTTTCCTGGGGGCCCAAATTTGCTCACGAGTCGATGCGCGAGCGGATCGCGCTCGCGGCGCAATTTTGGATTTTTAGGGCTGCCAGCGGTGAAAAACCAATTGGGAGGACTGAGCCAGCGGATCGGCTGAGGTTTCCAACAACTCAAAGCCATGAGGGTTGGAAGATGCAATGTTGCTGATGCCAACTTTTTTGTATTGCAAATCAAGACAGATCCACATGGTTGGAAAAGAAGCACAGTGGGTACCGTGGTCTGGATTGGCTTGGGGATTTCTTCACTGGCTTTTAGAGGATAGATCGGTCTTTGCGCCGCGTTTTCCAGCGGCGCTTGGAGGTGTTGGACTTGGAGTGCCTCGGGCTCTGCCGCTCCGAGATGATCATGGACCGGGCGGAGGGGCGCTCTCGAGCGGCGTGGGGAGGGTGGGGGTGGGGTTCCGAATTCTGGGTGGATTGTTTGGCCACCCTCCCACCAGACATGAAACCTGACATTTCGCAGGGTCCTGGAAGACAACTTTCCTTTTAAAGGGACCTCCTGTCAGGTTCCATGTAAATTGGTGGGAAGGTATTCTTGTCCCCTGAGAGCTGTTGCCGTTTACCCAATACCCTGTACCCGAAACCGGAGGCGCTTATCGTTTGCCTTTTCACCTTTACCCTCCTTTACTTTGTGAAGGTTTGGCACAGGTTTCCAGGTTCAGGCACGGACTTGACTAGAGGTCTGGCAAGCACGGTTCGCTGTTTATGGGGTCTATGGTCTTCTCACCAGTACTACCTACCACCACCTAGGAACTTAGGCTTATCGGGGCCGAAGGCTTATCCAAAGATGAACCCCATCTGGTGAGCTCCCTCAAGAGCCTGCAGGGTTGCCCTCGGTTTTGAGGTCTTGCTCACTGGTGCTTGATGGCAACACACAAAGCTATCCAGCCTAGCTTACTGTGAAGGTACCCCACCCTTACCGGGTTGTGTTGTATGGCTTAGGGTCGCAGTACACACTGCAACTTCATCTGGACCCGGCCTCTCTGAGATCTGATGTTCACCAAGGCTCTTTGCTACACAAAGCTCTGGGGCTTGATTCCTTGTCCATTCTTTTCAAGCATCATTCTTTTCAACAACCAGCGGGTTTGCCTGGGTTTATTGAGATTTTTTGGAAAGAAGGATCCCTGGAAAGAATGGAAATGGAAGGTACGCCCACGCTCTCTCCAAAACGACCCGACCCGACCAAAAAGCGTCCTCGCTGGAACGCCGAGCCCGCCCACGGAAGGAGAGGATCCAGCTGTCGAATCTCCACATCAAAAATCTGCGCCCGGACCTGAGAGAGGGGTTATTGATGCGGGCTGGGGGGGTGTGAGGGAGAGGGGGAGGGCCGTATTTGGGGCTTTTTTCCGAGGCCGAAGTTTAGGTCTCAAGTTATTGTTCGAGCTTTGTAGTGGGTTTGGCGTTCGGGTTTCCGTGTTTAAGCCACCAAAAGTTAAACTTTGAGCAGGGGATCTGACGCGGCGAGTTGGGACTAAGGAGGGGGGGTTAGGACCCTCACTTCCCGAGTTCCTGGACTTCAGTCACTTTTTGGGGTTTGGACCATTTGAGTGGTAAATAAAAAGGTGTGGCTACTTTTTCTGGCCAAAAGATTGGGCGCGTCCGTTCGGGCAGGGTTCCAGTTCTTGCTTAGGCGAAGCAACAGTTCAAGGGGGCAACAGCTGGTGTTTGGCGGTCCCTGAGGATCCCGCAAAAGTCTGAACTGAAAATGCCTCACCTTTAAGCTGCGAAGGATGGTGTTTGGGGTTTGCAGCGTGGTCCCTGATAGCTCATTTGCAGCCAATGATATCCGGGTATGTCCTGAGTCTGCCTTGGGGTAATCGAAGAACTGGACCCACCGTCACTTCACAAGGCAAAGTTTTGTGGCACACTGCAAGCTGGGATGGTCGAACCGCTTGACTGGGCTGAAAGGGAGGGTCGCCAGCTCCAAAAAAAACAACATGGGGGTGTCTCAAAAGAGAGGTACCAGGAAAATGGTGGTTTTCCTTTTGGTTTCCCTTTGCAACCACAAACAAAAAAGGCCACCCTCCAAAAAGACGAGCCACCCACATGGGGCATGTTCTTTGGCGGCTTTTCACCAGAAGGAGGGGAGCGTTTGCCTTTTTCCCGCCCAAGCCTTCGCGAAAATGCCCCGAGGCCTCGAGAATTCCCATGTCAAGAGGATAGAAGTCACCAGGCGCGCGGAGCGAGCCGCCTGCCGAACGTGCGGAAGGGGTGAAGACGGAAGACTTGGGCGAGACGGACGAGCTTCGGAAGTGGGGGGGGGGGCAACCTTTCCTCTTTTTGTCCTTTTCTTTTTTTTTGGGGGGAGGAAACCATGTCGCGCAAAAAACCCTTGAGACTCACACACATGTTCCCATACCCCCATTGGTTGGTTGCTTCCTTGTTTCCTTGCTTGCTTGCTTGGTTGGTGGGTTGGTAGGGGCGTCAGTGTTTTCGACTCCGTGGCCTATGTGTTTTTTGAGCCCACCGTCAAAGCTCGGCTTGGCGCCGCAGCTGCTTTTTGCTGGACTGCGACTTCTCGGTGACTGTCACTTCCAGCGAGGCGCGGCCGGAAGTCCCCGGAAACGTCTTCCGGATTCAAGGGGGGGTGCCAAGCGAAGGATTCCCAGTGGGACAAGCCTCGGTTCAATGCAGAGGTTCACAAGACTCCTGCGTTGCAATTAAAACAGCCTTTACTACATTCGATTGTTGGGTTGCCTCGCTTGATGCCATGATACCCTTTTTCACTGTCATGCCACTGTACTCTTGCAAGCAGACGGGTGGAAATTATCGGGCCGCCTATGCCCCCTCCAAATGCACTCCTCCCGTGCTGGGGCGAAACCACCTACAGGCTCCCAGCATCGACTCGGACTCATACGACTCGCTTGGCACGTTTCCTTATCCAGTTGCAGCGCTGGTTTTGAAACCGGAAGTACCAAGCCGGCTGATGTGAGTAGCAGAAGGCTGTGCTCGAGTGCTTTTCGTTTGCACATTTGTTGCTGAGATCTTCCGATTTGTTGGGCGTTTGTGGTAAGGAGCCAGCCAGGGCCAGATCGGTCCAGCCCTGACCACCAGGACCTGGTTTTCCATTGTCGTTTCCTGTTCAGTCATGACCCCGCTGAAAAATTGCTCGATTCTTGTGTTCCAAGGTGTTTCACGATTTAGAGTCAGATTTATGCGAGACACGGCCATTTGATGTGTTCGGCATGCCGTCTTCCGCTTTTGGCATAGTTGCCAATCGTCTTAGCGCGGGCCTCAGCCTTTCCAATCGAAAAGACGTCTGGATGTATGTGGCCGTGTTTTTGTCGGCCCATCTCGGCACATCTCGGCGCGGCGCAAATCCGCCGGCGCAGGTGACAATCAGCAACTCCAGATTGGAAAACGTCCAGCTGGGTGTGTTTGCCATGATCACCTCCGTGAAGGACGCTTCCCTCCCAGAAATGGTTAGCGGCCTGTGCAGAACTTTACTTTCAAAACCAATGGTACCATCTTGGGGTAGGTGAATTCACCACCCATTTTAGTCTATTTTAGTGGAGATTGGGATGTTCACTGGGGGTACGGGATTTTGACCCATGGCCATATGGCAAGGCTGCCCCGAAACTCATTCAACATGCGGTGGGCAGTTCGTGAAGTTCGTGAAGCCGGGTGGCGCCGAAGACCTCTCTGTGAGGGACCCGTCAGGAGAGCTGCCAGCTGCTACGCTGCAATCTCCGGGTTGTGGAAGAGCTCTTCGTCTCCGAATCAGCGCCTCGGCTGCAAACGGGGGGGGTTCAGCTGCTTCCCGAAGGAGACACGGGCGACTGGGCGTTTGGTGCTTGGATGGTTCCGTGTGTGCGAGAAGGGATTTGGGCCGAACACTGTTCGATCGCTAGGATTTGGCGCATCTCGTTGGAATTGGCCGCTCTTCTCCGACCCTAGATGTATCATCTTATTCTTGCTCCATGTTGGCAGCATATGCTTTGTTTCTACTGCGGCCTTCTCACTTGCTTCCAAGTAGGTTGCTGTTGGCCGTGTCTCGTTTGTGTTCGTCGCCCAGTTGCCATACATAGTCATAGTGTATCTTGCTGGGGTGCTCAGTAGGGAATGACCTTCCGGGTTTGGGAATACTCTTGGGGCTCCCAGTAGCATACTGGCATAGCCCATAGCCCATACGATTAACGGCTGAGAGTCCTCAGGCTGCAAGCCGTCCGCCTCTATTCGATCGGAAAACGGAGCGTAGGGGTGGTGCCACCCAAAGCCGTGCCTTCTTGCTTCCCTTAGTCTGGTTGCATGAGGGGTTCTCCGCAAACTCGTTTGGGTCAAGGTTTCCTTTCTGCATTTGGGAGTGTGTTTTTTTGTTGTTGTCCCTCTTTTGTCGGCTTCGAAGGGAAATCAAAAGGAAAGCCATTCTGGCGGGTCCAACCTTCAAGACAGACCCATTTCGATCGGACAATTTCGAGCTTTCGCATCCGAGGAGCTTGACAGCTGTACCTTCCGGGGCAGCGATGAGGACCGGAAGGACCGGCAGTTTATCAGCGGGGGGCCCTTGGAGATCGAACGGCGCGGAGACACCAAAGCACCGCCGGCGCTATTTGCTGAAAGGAATATTCTTGTTTGTTTTTCTCTTTTGGCTTCAAAGAGAATCGATTTCACTACTGGATTTGTTCCTATTTTTTTCCAGGAGACGAAAAATCAAATGGAGGACTGGCGTCCTTCAGCCTTCAGACGCAAGGGGACGGATATCAACGTGTTCTTCCGCACATTGTTTGCCAGACCCCGCATCTTTCTAAACATGATGGAGCCCTGGTGGTCGATGTCTAATGGCATGGCTGTTGTTGAGAAACATTTTACCTTTTTGCTTACCCTTATTCTACCCAGAGAGAGCCACTCAACCCAGCACTGAGGCGCAGTCTTCCAGCAGTCCGAGTTGCACGGGGCACTTTGGCAGAGGGGATGGGCGGTGACTGATGCGCCGGGAAGCGCCTGGACCAGCGCCGCTTTTAGAAAACGGTTTGGATTTTCATTTGTTTTTTGTGGATATCACCTGTTCTTCCTTCCCCCCACTCGTCCTTTTTTAGGACTCTTTTTGGTGGATCCACAGATGCGTCACATCCAAGCCGTTTCTAGGACCTAGAGAGGCAGTAGGCAGCTGGCAAGGGGATCTTCGAATTGCCGTCTTCTTTGATCGCCGCGGGTGAGCTTTTGCCTACAGAGGTTCCAAGAAGCGTGGGCTGGTGACCCTAGCGCAGAAACTCACCTCCCAGTGCCTCCCAGTTTCCCCCAGTGCCCTGCATCTCCCTTTGGATTGAACCCCAAAAGTGCGTCGTGCTGGCCTGTATCAAGCTCCCATGTTCCCTTTGACTGGTTGCAACCCGGCACTGTGTTTGACTTGCCAGTTGCTTTGTAGCACAATCACTGAAGGCGATGCAACTTGCAGATTGAAGGTTCTGCATGGTCAGATGGGGCTATGCTGGTGCAACGCTTCGATTTTGCAGCCTTGGCTCTTACATGGTGCGCCGTTTGGCAATTTGGCAAGAGTCGGCGGACACCGCATGGCATTTGTTTTATTGCCCTGTCTTGCCGCATGAAGCGAATCTCAACGCAGGCAATGCTTCCTCATTCATTGTTGATTCCGGATCCAGTACTTCCAGGATACACTTTTTAAGAGACGCCGTGTGCCTGTGAGCAGTACTCAGCATCATGAAACAACGGGCAACCAACGGCACCAACTCAAGAATCACACTTCCGACCTCTCGACAATGCACACCAGTGAAGCGCGATCTGCGGAGGAAATGTACCTTGAATGTTGATGACTCATGCACGCAAACGCGAAAGGGAGTTCGGATCCTGCTTGGTGCTATGCTCCTGGTCGCTGATGGGTCCTTCCCCACGCTGCGGACGCCCAGGAACATCGGAGTATCCAGGCCGGCTAAACTATGCTGGGCCAAATCTGAAGGAAAGAAAAGCAGTGTGTCAGCGAGGGCATCCAGTTAAATTCGACATGCTGTACGCTTGCGGGCATGCCTATGCGCCGAGTCAGCTGGGAAAACCATGGGACCGCCTGTTTCAGGCAACTGCATGTAGCACCATTCATCTAGGGGTCATGTCCAAGGTACTTGTCCCACTCCTTTGAGAGCAGGTCGCCTAGGTCGCGCAGGAGGTTCCTGTTCAACGTTTTGCCTCTCTTCTTTCTTGTTTTCCTTTTCCATCAGAAGGGGTTGCCCTCCCACCAACTAACGTGGAAGTGCAAAAGGCCCTTTCCAAGAGGAAAGTAGTCTTTCAACAGGGGTCTGTGCACAAACCCATGTTAGCTGGTGGGAGGGTATGCTTTCGGTCGGGAGGTTCGCGGGGGCTTGTTGCAGAAAGCTTCTCCCCGCGTTGCTCGCCCGGAGGCCGCCGGCCCATCACAGTGGCGATGCCGCAGCCACCGTGAGGTGTCAGGTCGTGTGGGTCAGCCTTTCGGCTTGCGCCTCACGCGCAAGAAGCCAGGGCCTTGGAAAGCTCCGGCAGGTCATGTGATTCACGGCCTTTGGAACAAGCACCCTGGACAATCAATTTAAAAAGGCCATGGATTGCACGGCCGCTTTCTTCCTGGGTTGCACTGTGACTTGCTCAAATGCTGTCGTAGGCTTTGCCCTCCCTTTAAATCAAAAAGAGAACTTGGATGCAATCTCCTGCCGTTGTTGGAAAGACAACCTTTCCAAAGCCTGAGGGCGGGAAGGGCAACAAACCGCCCGTAGCACGTGTTCTTCAGCTTGTCTTTGCCTGCATACAGGAAACAACATCGGTGAATGGACAAACTCCTTGACGGTTTCTCCCAGCAGTGGTAGGGTTTTCGTCCAGATAGGAGTGCAGGATTTTGCCAATCCACGGTACCTCAGGGCTAGTGAAGCCACCTTGGCGCCTTGCGCACGGAGGCCGTTTTCGCCGCGCGCCTCGCACGCGGCGGCACGGGATGGAATGGGAGGCTGTGGAATGGCGGCTCGGGTTTTTATGGCAGCTCTGGGTGGATCTTTCGGGTTTAGAGTTGAATTTTCAGGATTATTGGTTCCGCCTTGTCGAAGCATCGATCGCTTCGCCGTTTGTGGTAGCTTCGTGGTCCCCGGATCGGTCGTTTTGGTGGCAGCTTGTCTGAGAATCCCTGATTTCACCGTCAAGAACTTGGGGTGTGTTCACGCCTTGAATGCCAGTTAGGTTCCAAACGTGAGACTTTGACCTTGTTGTTGGCAGCTTTCTTCGTCACTTGGGGTATGGGTGGGACCGCAGGTTTGAGTCCATTTTTCCATGTACCAGGCAAGCCATTTTGGGGGTTATGTTTGACCCACAGCCATTTCTGTGAAGGCCAAGGGTAGCATGCGTGCAGTCAAACATTGCACAAGCCTTTGTTTCGGGCGAAGCAAGCACCCCAGGCTGGACCTCGAGGATGGCAGCGGCTTGGCGCAGATGCATATTGGGTTCTTACCGGACTGGAGGCTTGGATTGTTTGTGCTTCACCGTTTTGTAGCAAGCGGATATGCTACGTACACATAGCACACACACACATGTTTGTATTTCTGCATGTAATATGGACCCCCATATCTATATTTCTATGGACATGTAGATGTACGATTCGGGATGTTTGGATTCAGCCCTGCAATTATGGGCATTGTGGGCATCATCCGGGTTTGCTTACTCGGACGCAGCGAGCATTGCAGACTCTGCCAGGGACTTTGCAGGAAGTCACCCAGATCAATCAGCCAACCAGTCTATTCACATGGGGGTTTTTCGGTGTTGCCCTCTAAAAGGGGTTGGACACCTCCCTACTGTGGATGAACGACATCCTGCACCACTTTGAAACCATGGGAAGCCATTGTTTGTTGGTATTTGCAGGGGAATCATCATTCCAGGGTTCCTTCGGTGGTGCAGGATTTCGTCCATCCACAGTATTCATACACGGTTTATGAATCCGGGGTCAACATTAAGTCTGATGCGAAGTCGGTGCCATATGGCGAGCGAGCCATTGTTAGTGAGCCTTAGGGCTGGAAACAGAAGTTGCCATGGAGCATGCACAGGGGATCTAGATCTCCTTATCCACATCCCTTGCTTCAGCATCTGTGTCTCAGTCGTTGGGGAAGGTCGCCAGCTACAGATGGCTGCTCATCAAGCTTCTTATGCAACCATCTATCACGTCTTTCCGTGCACGCTATGACAAGCTCAAAGGAACTCATACCGGAAAGCGGATGAACGGGTTTGTCTTCAATCGGCAGAGCCGTGGCTTCCCGTGTTCAACACCCCTTCCCCCCGCCCCCCCCCAAAAAAAAACAACAACAGAAAGATCCTTTAAAAACAAAAAAGAAGAAGAACAAAAACACCTTTGTTGGCCACCCCACCACGCGGCGGAATTCCCCGATCGCAGTCTCTATACGCCGCTGAGGCGGCGTCCACGCGGGCGGCACAGAGCTGCCGCTGATGCCGCTGCCCGCGGTGCAGCTCGGCGGATCTCAAGCGCCGTGGGTGTGGGACTAGGTCCCCCAGCAAGTGGTGCCCTTCTCACCCATTTCTTTTTTGGTTGGGAGGGTTCGGGACCCTACTAAAATAGACCACAGAAAAAAGCAACGGTACCAACTTATTCTAAGCTCTATAAGGGCCCAGGGAAGAGTGGGCTGGGAGGTTGGAGAGGCGGGGAAGGCTGGTTGGCCCATCCAGGCTCTAGCTCGTGGTTGTGGAACAAGGGGGGGGTTGGCCGAGTTTCTGTGATGCCAAATGAGCCCTCTTCAAAGCGACAGAGGCGCAGGGATCACCCCCTTATCAGATACCAGGCCCACCGTCCAAGCGTCCAACCGACTGAAATCTCAGGTATTTGCCGAGCCCCAGCCAGCAGCTCATGGTGTCGGAGAAGAGGCGGGGAACGCGGAGGACGTGACGTCTTGCTGGATGTGAATTCGTCTCTCAGTTGACCTTCTGAGTTTCCTATTTGGGCACCCATTTTTTAGTCCTGACCCCAAAAGGTTAGCACCTTGTATGTCCAGGTCCTTTGGGCAAGTGAGTTGTGTTAGAGTGACAGGTGCCCCTGCTTGAGACTCAAGGAGACGCCAGCTGAGAGTGGCGCCTCAAAATTCTGGGGCAGCCGGCCAAGTGGACATCGGCGGCAATCTTGGGCGGGCTCTCAAGTTTGCATGACCGAGCTGGCGCGCATTGTCACGCACAAACTCGTGAAGATGTGGAACCTAGAAGTGCGCAGTGGGGTAGTGGAAGCCAGGAGGGAACCCAAAGTGACGAAGCAATCAAGCAAGGAAGGAAGCAAGCGAACGAGCAAGCAGGCAGGCAGGCGGGCAGGCAGGCAGGCAGCACAAACAGCCATCCATCAACAAAGTGGTCGTATGGTTTCTCTTCAGCAGAAGCTCGGCCTGGTAGACAACCACAAAACGAACCAGGTGCAGAGCCTTTGCTAAAGCAGCGCACGGACAATCCACGGGTTAGCGCCCACTGCCTATTAACCAAGCATTTGGAAGTCAGACTCATTCCTGCTTGTGCTAGCCCTTCCAAGGCGGTCCGGATCAAACAGAAAGATATATTTCCGCACCTGGGGCCTTGATCTCCAACTCAAATACGGTGGCAGGCGGGCATGCGCCTGTGCACAGGGGGTTGCAACAGATGCTTGACTCCCAGTTGCCCAGTGGCGGCCTTGCTCGTTTTTTTTGGGAAGGGTTCCCCTTTGAACTAAACCAACCAAACAAGGATTCTTTTCTCATGGCCACTGGGCATCGTAACAGGGACGTACTGTATTTGTTCATGATTTCTCACAGCCCCACTTTATCACTTAAAAGATGCGAACTCGGATGGAACTTGCCCCCTAGCATAATTCTTGTTGAAGACAGGCAACGAAACCTTGGGGGCATTGGGTGAACTGTGGAACCTCATTGGCTCCAATCCGTACATGGTACCAGATACTTGAAGCTCTATGACGACATCCTCCTGAACGGGAGCCGCATGCTGCCAGCCTCAGGTATACTCATGTTCACTGAGTCCAACGCCCAGAAAACACATTGGCGCGTGGCATGGATGATTGTGGAGGCAAAGAGGTGCCCTTCCCAAATCAAGTGTGCTTGAGCAACTGGGATTGGAGCTGGACATGTGAGATGCGGCAAGGAGCATTACTTGGCATTTGGCACCCAAGTGAGCAACCCAATCGTGAGTCCTTCAAGGTGTAGGAAAGGTCGTTTGTAGCATTCTGGGAACGAAGAGGGCTCTGCTGCAGGACAATGTCCAGTGTTTGCCAGACCGGGTCAATTCTTCGGAGCACGTTGACACACCCTCCAGCCAATTGGTTGGCTTTTCCTCATGTGTCTGTTCAAGCAGGTTCTACATGAGATGCTTTCGGGCCTTCTGTTTTTTTTCAACGCTGCCCGGGTCTTGGCAGTTCTCTTGGCTGTAAAGGGAAAACGCCAGGATCTAAAGGGAGAACACCAGCTTCTCGCTGCCATTCTGGGGGTCCGAATCCTTAAAAAAGCATCCAAATCCTGGACAGGCCAGGAGAGGCGGCAAAAAAGAAGACGTCCAAGTCCCCAAAAACCGACGACGCGGCCCTCTGGAGCCTCCGGGCCTTCCAGTGACCCTTGCGCGCCCTTGCGCCGAGGTTCGTGGTGTCTCACAGCCAGGGCTCCAAGGTGGCGCGCATGGGGCTGGCCTTCAAGCTGAAGGCATCTTGGCCTGAGGAGATCTTTATATACATATATATGTATATATATATATATATATATTTGGATGAATTATAACGACCTCACACGACCTCACCCCAAATGGTGGTTTATGTGGGGAGTAGCCCCGCAATCACCTTATTTCAGGTTGGTGAAATATTATAATGCACCCAGATACATATATATATATATACACATGGTAGGCCCCTCCCCCCCAAAAAGAACCTTCCAGAAGACACAGTTTGTTTTCTTTGAACAAATCAATGAATATAATATATATATATATATATATCGGTTTTGACAGGGTTTCCGAGCCATTTCCCTTTTTGGAAGCTGCAAGAAAGTGGCCATGGTTGCAATGGACACCACCAGTAAATGTCAACTTCAACGAATGCTGATGGGCCAAGAAGTGACCACTGTGTGTCACAGATTGTCCAGCTGTGATGTTTGGCTGCGTCAAGGAAGGGCCCTGTGGCAAATGCCTCTGGGAAGGGCGCCTCATTCGGATGCTGCCTAGGATCTCAAGGATGTGTCCGCTGACACGCATGGCCACTTCAAGTATGCCCCTTGGCGGGCAAATGGGCGGCAGTGAAGGAATTATGTGCCGCATAGTGGAAATTGGGAAGGAGTTGCTTGCCCGAGTGAGGATGCTTGCTTAAAGATTTTGCCAGTTCCGGTAGTCGTGCACTAGCTCCTGGAACTACCCAATTTGCTCTCGGATGCGCTTGAAACAAGCATAAGTAGCCACACATTGGCTTGACGGGCAAGTGGGCGAACCAGGCGAGTTCTGTGTACCGTCTCAAGAAGTCAACTGAGATAAGCCCCTAAATTGCTGTCGAACACAAGAGACGCATGCCGGATGGTTCCGGATTCAGTCTGACACGGCCGCTTGTGCGTCACGGGCCTTGACTCAGACGTCGCGGGCCTTGCCAGCTCCAGTTCGCCCAGCTTCGTTCCCCGAGGCTGCGGAGCACGAGGTGCCGTGCCGTGCGCGGCCCCAGGGGCCCGGAGGGACGGAGGGACGGAGGGACGGGCCCAGGGGCAGCCTGCGGAGGGAGAAGGTGGGGATTTCTGCACTCTCGAAGTCGACGTTGGGAGGATTTATGAGAGACTCAGTTGGTCCAAATCCGACCTTTTGACCTTTCGGTTCTCCTATGTTGGGACCCATTTTTAGTGGCCCCCAAAGGTGATCACCTTTTACTTCCATATCCTTTGGCAAGTGAGGATATGGGTTTAGCATTTTGGTCCATTTTAGTGACCCCAAAAGGTGATCACCTGCTAGTTCCAGGTCCGTGGGCAGGTGAGGATATGGTGGGTGTATCCTTGCTTTAGTCTTTGAAGACGGCCCTGGCCCTCACCCCCACGGCAACAGCCCGAGTGCTGCTGAAATCGGTCGAGAGAAGATCTCATGTCATGGGGGCGCTCGATTCATACTTGAAGGCCCATTGTACGTGTTTAATATGGCTAAAGACCACTCCGGAGCCAGAGGGAAGCTGCATGTCTTGATCAATTTCCTTGACCTTAGCTTGCTTTGATAGGTTGGAATTTGGTGCTGCTTTGCAGGCCAGGATGTTTGAGCAAAGAGGCCCGTCAACCGAAGAGGCCGCTCAGAAATGGAGCCCTGAGAAGCGACGAGGCCCGTCAACAGACAAAAGGCCACTCAGAAATGGAGCCCTGGATTTCTCTTAGAGCACCAGTTTGTTTTATCGGACAATTTTGCTAAGACTTTGGTTGAGCAATTAAATCCAGGGGGGCTCAATTTCTTGGCAAATCCGGGGCAGTTGCAACCCACTTGGTTGGCATCTCAGCCCATCAACTTCTTGTGCTACGTTTTCTTATGCAGCGCTTCTGCTGCAGCTGCTTGGCTGTCAATTTCGTTGTCCACCCACTTCGGCACTTCGGTTTGGGCACCCAGACGCAAATAATTTTCACCAGGGCGCAGGAGGTGTTTGCACTTCACCCACCGCACCATGTCCTGTTCCATTTAGCCTCCCACCAATTCATGTGGAACCTGACATAGGGATCCTGGAATTTCAGGTTCCATGTTAATTGGTGGGAGGGCATAGGGATCCTGGAATTTCAGGTTCCATGTTAATTGGTGGGAGGGCAGCTTGCTTTCACTCGGTTGGCTGCAACTTTGTCGCGGCCAAGGGGTCCGGATCCTGTCCGTGCTCAATGCCGAAGCTGGCTCCTCGAAGGACCAATACCTGAGAGCGGAGGCGGGGCGGCGGGCCTGCGCGACGCCGGGGGTTTCCGGGTCGCCAGCAGGTTGCTCCAGGCCAACCAACACAAATCTGGACAAATGATGAGGATCTCAAGCTTACACGTGATGAAGGTCCTTTGGGTCCCCTTGCTTCCGGTTTGCTTTTTGCTTCCCGAAGTCAAGAGAATCTAGGATCGTGGTTGTTCCGATGGCTTCCCCGCCGAGTGAAGAGTCATTTGTTGAGACATGGGTGTGACTCTTCCTGGGGACCCCCGAAAATTGTGGTTTTACTTTTGGTTTCCCTGTAACACAAAAACAGTGGTAGACTCCAAAAGCACACACATGGCCCGCGAGAGAGAGAGAGAGAGAGAGAGACACACATATTTTGATTGGCTGCAGTCCGCTGCACTCTCAACTCTCAGCTTGAGGTCGAATTGCTCGAGGACGAAGACCCAGAGGCGTGGAAGTCGCTCTGAAGAGGCTGAAGACTCTCAGGCTGCAAAGCCCCACTTCAACTAGGTCCCCCAGCTAGGTGCCAATTTTTACCGTTGCTTTTTGGGGGGAGGGTTCCCTACTAAACTAGACTACAGAAAAAGGGTACCCTTTTTCTAACCTCTCTACTGGAGGACCTAGTCAAACTTTGGAACTTGGACCCTTCGATTCCAAGTGCTTGAGATTCCCGGCGCCTGGGTTGTTCCGTGCTTTTGGGGGAAGTCATCGTGAAGACTTTAAGATTCAGACTTTGTCAGTCAGCGAACATACTCATTTGCTTCCACTCGCTTCAGAACATGATTTGTTTTCCCTGTTGGTTTTGAAGTGAATCGATGTCACTGCTGGACATATTTGTTGCAATGAAGCAGCAAATGGATGTTCATGAACATACGGGGAACATGTGTATTTATGTGTATTTTTGGTTACCCACTATTACCCCCTCTACCTCTTTGTTTGTTACGTTTGCTAAAGGGTCTCTTGGGTGTGGTGTGGGTGCTCGCTCCGCAGGCTTCTCTTCCAGCGCTGCACCGCATCCGCGGCAAGCTCCAGGATGCGCTCGCCATGCAAGGCGCCAGACCCAGGGTTCCAGGTGGCGGGTGGCGTTGGATGGCCCCGGCTGATTTGTAGCCATACGTGGTGTTGCATCTGTTTAAGACGGTTGGCCATGAGAGGCTGAAACTATTTTTTGATGGAGTGGCGACTCAGACCCTTTGATGAGGAATGGTGAGGATGTACTCTAAATGAGATCTCATGCCTGTTTGGGGTGCCCCATCCATCCTCGTGGCAACTTTGGGAACTAGAGCGGGAGAGCTTCCCCATAGCTATAAAGGATTTAGTGGTAGTTTCCATTTAAGCCACTAAAAGTTTTAAAAGACTTTTAGCAGGGGATCTGAGAGCAGCCCACATGTGTCACAGTTTGGCAACTCGAATCAGCGCGGTAGGAAGCATGCGATTGGTGCCCTGACGCATCTCGCTGCGCAACTTGCTCGGTCGCCAAAGGCTCGGCTTCTTGGTGGAGATGCGGCGAGCCGAAACATGTGGGTGTCTCTTCTTTCGAGGATACCGATGGCCCTTGCTTGTGGTTTTTTGAAGAAAGGCATGACCTCTAAAAGCCATCCCCATGGCTTCCTTTAAGGGGGTTTTTCTGCGGTTCATTTCCAAACCCGGGAGATCCATTTTTTGCTGAGAACCAAGAAGGTCTATCAACTCTATCAGCCGTTTTGCTGATTGGCCGCCCGCTTGGCCGGCGGGCTTGTGCGCACTCGAAGCCGCCAGGCCAGGAACAACAAGACCCGGCCAGGCGCACAGCCAGCCCAGCCCCGGGAAAGTGTGTGTGTGTGTGTGGGCTTCTTTTTGCCAATGGCTTGTAGGTTCGGTCAAAAAGTTTCCGGCTTGTCCATATGGGAGGGACATGGGAGGACACAAAGTTTCCCACAGAGAGCAGGGGACTCTTTAATTTTACCATTCACTCTAGGGTTGTGGTAAGTTTTGATCTTGGCTCATGCGCTTCTCCAGCAAGTTGCGTGATAGATTTGGGCAGTAGTCGAGCGTAGTGTGCAGTTTTACTTGGTGACTCTTGCCATTGCGCATACCATCACTGTTGCTGAGGGCATGAATAAATTATATATTCATCCTGCAGGGCGCAGCACTTGACCAGGCCCACCTTCCTCCACATCGTCCTAAAAGCCAACAACAGAGTTTTGCAATGCTGTGCTCTATCCGTTGAATTGGCTCACCGTCCGCTCCTGTGGATGCATGGCAGCAAATGGTTTGGAATGCATGCAATCGACATCTAAACTCATATTAATCATCCAATGGCATCATGTGGTTGAGAGCAGCACCCGGGGCCCCATCACAGCAACAGTCGGTCTTCAGCGAGCAGAAGATGGCATGAAAGAAAACAAGGGTTACAACATTGAATAGCGCTAAATGACCCACCATCATGACCACTTGATGCCGCACATGGTGGTAAGTCGCAGCCACGCACTAGGGCTTTTTGCGGCTGGTGTTGTTGCTCAATTGGATTGTTGGAAACCTTCAGGAAGCTCGATGCAATGATGCGTAGCTTTGCACATGCCATCCTGCAAGCGGCCGCTTACTGTGGCAAAGAGACTCGCATGTCAAACCTCACACCACCTTAACGCCGCGAACGCAAACACGACACTGGCGGCAGTCGAGTTGGTGAGTTCCGCTGGTCCAATACACATATCATTCTAGTGGTGGGTGGTGCGAAGATTTGAGTTTGTTAGGTGTGGAAAACACAGAAGACAACGCAAACCCGCAGCTGGGATGGGAAAGAAGAAACAGAACACCTTCAGCTTCCCGCGTCCAAGGAGCTCGGGAACCTCGCGCGAAAGCTGCGCCTGGCCTCTGTGCTCAGGCTGGCCGGCCGGGTGGGTATAGGAAACTTGTGTGTGAAAAAAGGGGTTCCAAAGGCGGTTTATTTTGCATTGCCAGGAGCAGTTTTGTCCAAGCTCAGCTGATATCATTGAACAATTCGGGGGCCGCACGTGCTCAGGACCGAAGTGTGCAAAGACTTGACCTCCGTTCCCACAAAACAAGCAGAGGGATTACCAAAGGACAGGCTGAAACACATAGATTCACCGGTGTCAAAATTGACGGCAGAAAACGTGCTTTCACGCTGGAAAACAGGCTTTCACGCCAATTTCACGGTATTTTCACGGTGATTTCACGCTACTCTTGTGTACATCACGGACCGCTATGTTCACACTAAAATTGTTGTGTCAAAGACATGTTGGGGTGGAACAGGCCTTGTAGAATCTAAACGTGGCAACAGCATGAATAATCCATCAAATACCACGCCATGGCTCATTGCAGGCGCAAAAAACAGGCTTTAGCTGCAAAAAACAGGCGAGGTGCAAAGGACGTTTAAAAAACAGTCGTGGATTTCCAGGGTGGCTACTCATCAGGGGGAATCAAAGGTCATTCCCTTGACGGCCGGGAGCGGCCTGGTCGAACTCGGTGCGTCGATATGGGTGAAGGGGGGGCTCACGCTGGCTTCGTTTTCCCAGGGACGCAACACATGCTAGGTCCGACAGTAGCGCCCTTTTACCTTTTTTTTCTTCTTTTGTTTTCTTCTTTTTTTCGGGAGGGTTCCCCAACTAAAATAGACTACAGAAAAAAGGGCACCCTTATTCTAACCTCTCTACTGAAGGACCTAGTATAAATACTCTATGAAATTTAAATGTGCTTTGACACAGTTCCCAGATACCTGTGCCGTGGCTTTCTGGCCCAAACAGACACCTAGGATGCAACATCTTCTTTATGGACTGGTGCTTTTTGGGCTTCTTCTGCCCAATGTTCTCAGCTGCGGGTCGGTGGGTCTGAGCGTCCAGTTTTGGGCTTGTTTTGAGAGACGATCTAAGCTCCGCGTCACGTCCTGCGCTTTTGGAGAGATTCAGAAATCAGTTGGCAGGTGAAACCCAAGCGGGGCTGGCCCATGTCCCGGGATCTCCAAATGGGCGCAAATGGGCATGGGTCAAAAGCCAAATCCTACCCCCAGTGAACATCCCAATCCCCACTAAAATAGGTTCCAAAATGGGTGGTGCACCGAAAACCCCAAAATGGGATCCCATTGGTTTTGACCCACAGCCAAATGTGTGCCAGCTGTGAGTAACTGTGAGCCTGTCGGGGTTCTGAGCTGCACCCAAAGCACGCCTAGCCGTTATCCAACCTGATTTGGGTGGGTGGCAACCCTCCGTCGACCGATTGACCCAGCCATTCCCGGCCATATTCGGCCATCCCTTTTTCCATGTACAGGGCATCATGCATAAGAAATTGGGGGTCTCCAGGACCCATTTGTATTTTGGGTGAGGAACACTCCAAAGGTTTCCCTAGCAAAACTGCCCGGTAGTCAACTTCCGCTGCTTTCCCTTGGAAGGAGTTTTTTTTTTAATTCTAGGGGCACCTTCCATTTCCAATCTTTCCAGGGATCCGAATCTTTCTAGAAAACCTCCCTTGAAACCCTCGGGAAAACGGCCGGCCGGTTTTTGAAAAGGACGAGGGTTGAAAAGAATAGACAAGGAATCAACCCCTCGAGTTTCGGGTCTCGGCCGTTTCCTGGCCAGGAGCCCCGGGTTCTGGGCCGGCAGCCCAGTTCCTAATTCTGCAGATGTTTTGGGCGAGCTCACCGATTTCATTGGGTTACAGTAGGAAGTGTTCCATGCCGGTTGAGTCGTCCCCTTTTCTCAGCCAAAGGTACTTGCTCACCATTTGGCTGCATATTTTATAACAAGCTCACCTGTGGGTAAAACGAGCGAGCTCGCCATGGTAGAGATCCTTTTTCCTTGGGGATCCAATTATTTTTTCAAGTTTGGGACATGTTGCAAGAACAATTGGCAGATTCATGATCTCCGCAATGGCAAACTCGGTGGTTTGCTGCTGCTCCGGCTTGTGGAGGGGGCCCTAGTCTTCCTATCACACTTCAGTTGAGCCGCGTGAGGCATTGTGGGCCAAGTATTGGGTTGCACTGGTTGGCACTGGTTGGTTGTCCAGCGGCACAGGGTTCGTGTGGCCGTTTTTTTGAAACGCGACGGAAATCCGCTGCAAGTTGTCGAATGCCTGCTTGGCCTCAAGATCGCGCTCATGAGTTTAGGGGCATTCCGTTTCGGTTCTCGTTGTTACGCACTGCACGCTTTCCGGATGGTAGTGCTTGTGTTGAAAGATGGCAGTTGTGGCATTGGACGCAGCCCTTGTTGTCGTTTGAGAAACATACCGTATCACCTACTGCCAGGAACAAGCATTCAAGATCCCCTATTGCCTTTGCAGATGTTTGTGGCATTTGGGCGGACACTCGGCCGAAAGACTGGCCCAAAGGGCCTTCTAGCAGCAGTAAAGCAGATTTCAGCCGCCGGGAATTGGTTTTATTCTTTTGACTTGCCAACCTGACCATCCCTTGCTTGAGGGCAACTCGATCGGCGCCCAACGCCTGCAGGGTCCGTCATTTCCCCGTCGGCCACTCTGCAGCCGGCATTCCTTGCCCTCAAAACCACCCACTGGGAGAATTGAGTGAAATGAGCGTGCTTGTGAGAGTTGAGGAAAACCACGTGTGAGAAGTAAGGGCTTCGGTCTTGGAGCCCCACCCCCCCCGACCTGAGGACTTGTGCAGCATGCTGGCATCCATCCAGGGCTTCAGGCCACGCCAAACCCTCCGATTTGATTTCCCTGTGCGGCAGAATCGGTGTTATTTGCCCTTGTTGGGTCTGAAGGGAATCGATCATCTTTTTTCAACTTTTTCCAGGGGGCTTGGGCACATGGAAACATAACTCTGGGCGTTAGGCTAAGTTACTAAGGCTAAGGGTTGGCTAACCTGGGCCTTGGCAAAAGGCCAAAGCCAGCCTCCGATAGCGGCAGCCTGGATGGGGTGATCAAGGTTCCCTATGAGGATTGTGGATTGGGATTGGCCAACCCTCAATCTTGAACAGCCCAGCCTAGTTTTGCTCATTCCCGCTTTGTTGTGGATGCGGCCTTTGCGCTTTCGTTTTGGGGGCCAGCAACGCCTGGCGGCAGTGAAGGCACAACTCTTGCGGTAAATCACCAGGCTTCCCGTTTTCCCTGCTACAAGTCGCCCATATTTGAAATATTTGCCTCAGCTTCCCGGAACAGAAGAGGGGAATACTTGTTGAGCCGAGTTCCTCGACTTTAGCCCCCGGTTGGGTTTGGACCAGTTTAGCTGCTTTCTTCTTTTCTCTTTTTTGTTGGGGGGGGGGTTCCCATCCCAACTCGATGGGAGGTGAGCGAAACACGCCACAGCAGTCGCGAACTCCCGCGCGCCTTCCGGTAGGTTGCAGCTGAGCGTCCGCAAGATGCGGGAGCACGTGAAGCGCCTCACGGAGCAGTGGGCGGCAGAGAACCCGGAGGCCGGTTCAAGGGTCCAAACGGGTTGGGAGAGGAGGGGGGAGGAGAACATCGCCTGGGTGGCTGGTCGCTTTGTAGGATTTGGGCCCCAACATGGTGGGGGGGGGGTCCGGTTTTGGTGTCCCTGCAAAACCAACAAAATGGGGGTGCCCTCAAAGAATAAGACACCCTATGACCCTATGTGGGTTTCGTTCAGTTGGGGGGGCCGGTTGCCTTATGCTTCCCTGAGTATCTGATTGGAAAGTTGGACATGAGAGCCTTGCCAGAAAGTTTCCGCAACATGGCATCCTATGTGCCCTTGCCGAATCAACCGGATTCTCGTTCGAACCCAAGCGCGAATCCACGTCACTACAAACGCGTCTCAAAGGCTTGATGCTCGCTAAGTTGATGACTTTTTGTTTGCAGCAGGGGGCCGCCATGTTGGCGGCTGTTTCTTGTGGGGATGAAGCATATGACTCTTCGTGGTGGGCCCGTGGTTGGTCACGGCGTTGCAACTGGGAGAAGAAAAATCCCAATATGAATCAAACAGCCTGCGATGCTTCAGAACATCTTGAACGCCCTGGCAAGCCCCAACCTGCGCGTAGCCCTTGGAAAAGGTAGCCCTGATATGCACCGCTTACAGCATGCTGGATACCGCTTACAGCATCTTGCCTCTGGAAAAGCGGGGGGCCGGACCTTGCAGATGCCAGACCCTACTGAGAGCCGGGTAGCGCTTGCAAACGTAATACGAAGGTAGATGCTCAAATGCAGAGTTCAGGAGGGGCGAAATCTGGGCGGGTTTGAAGTTGCATTTGGGCAGGCTCTAGGGGCAAGGGCGCAAGCATTGCGGCAACTGGTTCCCAGCAAGGATTGAGGTCACCCCTGCTGTAGATGGACGTAATCCATTTTCGCACCACCTAAGAAACCATGGTGTAAATACTTAAACCTTCTGGTTTCAACTATGCTTTCATTTCGCGGTGCGAGAAGCGGATTGCATCCATCGCAAGTGTGGCAAATTCCCCCAATGCGCAGTGCGCAGGGCTTGGAGGCCTTGAAGGTGGACCCTGAGGCGCGGAAATGCACCGAAAACCGCCGAGCCAGGCTTCCAAGACTAGGTCCCCCAGCATTTGGGGTTCCATTTTCCCTGTTGTGGGGAAGACTGAATAAGTGGAATTGTGGGACCCCCCACTCCCATCCCTGTGGTCTTTCAAAGGGAATCCAAAAGGAGGTTGCCTAGGTCCCCCAGCTAGGTGCCTTTTCTCACCCAATTTTTTTGGTTGGGAGGGTTCCCCTACTCAACTAGACTACAGAAAGCAGGGCGCCCTTATTCTATCCTCTCTACAGGAGGACCTAGAACATGAGAGTGCACACTGGGCAAACCGTGGCGTCCTCAATTGCTCGGTGCTTTACTTGGGGTGGTTGTGCATTTCATGAGGCCCTGGCAACTTCCCCATTTGACATGGACCTGTGCTCAAATCAAGCCCTCGAACTGTGTTAGGCGTTGCGGCTTTCAATCGTGGACCGGGGCAGAAGCTACGGAGAGGAGGGCTATCCTTTGAAAAGCCTCTTGGTTAGAATTGACTTATCCCAGGCATATCCAGAGATAGCCCCCGGTAGGGGTCCATGATTCAAGTGATCATCAAAGAGTCCGCAGCACCTTGTCGTTTTCAAAACCGAACAGCTTTCTGAAGATTTGGTGCCTGCACTTCATGTTTGCCGGGAGGTTAGCCTTTTGAAGGACAATTGAACCAGCCGGATCGAAAGGACTGGGGTAAACAGGAGTAGGTTGACTAAGTTATACTAAGTTGGCTATTAAAATTCATTGGAAGAGCCTCACAGATGGGTGGGCAGAGTCCGCAATGTACATGATGCACACGAAAGTGCCCAGTTGTGATTTGACCCGAAGCCTCATCGATTTGTAACCACAAGACCTTTTTCGGACATGGCCAGCCCAAAGGAAATGTACTCTGACATGCAAGAGCGAGAAAAGAGAGACCACAGAGCCCAATGCAGCCAAGCATGCGTAGCATGAGGTAGATGTGTCAGGGCCCCATCGCTAGATTCAGCTCATCCCTTCCTGCTTGATGTTGCAACTGTGTCGCGGGATGGTACTTAAGGCCCTCATATGGTCCATTGTAGGACCGTGTTGGAAACAGCCCTGTTCACGGTCATTGCCTGGAAGCACGTCAGTCAAGTGTACCATACCTGTGCGCTTGCATGTTCGCATGCACATTTCCTTGGACACGTTGACCCTCCAGAGCAACATTTCCTGGCATCCAATGGCCCAATGCGGATTCTTGTGGCGGTTGGCCTCCTGCGCCCCACTTCTGCAAGCACCAGCTGGATTTGTTTGGTGGCGCGCCCTCAGCCGGGGGCTCTGGGGCCCCAAGAGTCACCAGTCGCAGCTGGCGGGGGCGGACCGGGGCGGACCTGGCAGGTTCTGCCGACCTCCATCCGCGCGCAAGGGAAGCGGGCGCAGGAGCTCATGTCGGAGGGGGCGCAGGAGCTGCAGTGCACCTTCCAGCGCCCTTTGGCTTGGAGCGGCCTGTGGGCGGTTTACCAAGCGGCAGAGCATGACATGGATGCGTTTCCAGGGAAACTCCAAACATGGCTGGTATCCTTTTGAATTCCCCTGAAAAGGCACATCGAACAAGCGGCGTTGCCTTTCCGAGTACTTGGCAAGTCACAAAGAGCTATAGAGCTTTGGGCCCAAAGTTGCCATGTTGAGAGGGCCCAGCCCAAGCTTCGATGAACCAGGGTTTGGTTAACTGATGTGCTTGTTGAGAGGACCCAAGAACCCAATCGAAGAACTGGACCCTACGCACCAGCAATAAACAGATCTGAAACGCCAGCCTGGCGAAACAAACAATAACATGGGCTAAGCCAACCTTAAACCAACAGACCCCAAGCCAACCCAACCCACCCCCCACCCCCCACCCCCCAGCCTGGCAAAAAAGGTGAACATAAAAAAGGATCGGCCCCAAGACATGAAAAGCCTCGGGCCTGGCAACACCAAAAAGAAGCGAACCTCCCCCCCTTGTTCCCTCGAGCCTTCGGGTGTCTGCCCCTATTCTCCTTACGCCGCATCGAGCTGAGCTCACCGATTCCGAGTCAAAGCGCCTCCGAGGCATCCTGCAGGCGCGAGAGCTGACTCAGCGCGCTGCACTGCTGGAGTCCGCGGTGGGCGAGGCATCACTGCCGAGGGGTTGTGGTGGATCACTCGGGGGTTGGAACCCCACTTCTGTGATATCTGCGGGAATCTTCCTCGTTATGTGTTCCTTTTTTGGCAGAGCAACCAAGGTTGGCTTTGAAAGTAAAGTTATTTTCCAAGCCCAAGATAGCGCATTCCCATTTGGTCATTTTTTGTGCCGTCTACTTTCAATCTGGTGTTTAAACGTGCCCCAGTTGTCCTGACTCACGGAGCTTTTGCGGAAAAGGGGCTTGCAACTTGGTGGTTCCTAGCCATCCCCTTCGGTTTTTAGATGTTTAGGTGTTTAGTTGGTTTTGTGGTCGTTCCCACTAAGCCACGACAACATAGTCACTGTTAGCAGGGGCTCTGGGAGCTGGAGTGGTGAAGAGAGCGGGCGTGACGGCGTGACGGCCAGAAGACCACGCTGCAAGTCAGCCAGGGTTGATGCTCCTGGTTTCCTTGATGGTCGCGCCCCTGTTTCCGGAGGAGAGCGGCCCGCCATGGGGCCCGTGTTATTTCACAAACGCAGGCCCCATGGCGGGCCCTTCTGTTCCGGAGAGAAGCAAGCTTCAACAAACATCCCCCCATCCTTTGGCACGTTGAGTGAACAACATGATCTTGCTCGCAAGGAGCTACAGCGCATGCGCACCCTGCAGTCGCTGAACAGCATCCTGGGCCAGAGAGACGCAGAGTAAAAAGTTGAAAGCTGACAGGGGGTCCGGGGCGCGCCGCGGCTGGGCAAGGGCAACAGGATTGCGAAGCATTCCCTACACGATTGTGGTTGGTTGTTCCCACCTTGCCCACGAACATAATTCCTCATGACCGTTGAGCTGAGACACCAGTCGGGGGCACCGGCCATCCGCGCCCCTTGCTTGGGGTTCCGGTGCACCCGTGCATGGTTGAAGCGCTTACATCATTTTATGTTTATATATTTTTTAAAACTTGTTGTGAATCACCGCAGGGGCATTTGCTCCGGAACGATGGGCCTTTTGTAGGACCCCAAAGCCGTTTGTTCGGCCACCCTCGACGTTTGGCTGTTGAGCAGTACGTGCTCATTGAATCCGCCTCATAGGCTCATGGGTGTTTGTGACTTTCTTGGTGTGAGCACGTCTCTGAGCCTACTGGCGATCGACTGTTTAAACTTTCAGTTGTGACGCCTGCACCCCCCGTCGCCCAAGCAATTCACTTGTTTCTTTCTTCACCCATGCATTGTAGAACATGGGCTGCTTTGACTCCACTGTTGCCATCAACGCCCCGGTTTGAGGATGTTGGCCAGCCAGATTCGACGCGGCACGTGCCCGGATATGTAACCGAGGACATCACCTTTCCCTTTGACAAGGCGGTGTGTGAGCAGACGTACTTTCATGGACGGCTGCTTCGGATGACCAAAGGCGCCCAGACCATTCGTTTGGGCGCTTCTGCTGCGGGTACTTGCCGGCCGCAGGAGGGTTGTCAGCGCTGGTCCAGCGTTTGGTTCAGCAGCTAGGGTATTTTGGTCAGGCCTTGTGCGTTGGTGCCAGCTGACGGGTGGTGTAGGACTGGGCAGCTGCAGCTTGGTGCGACGAGCCATTCTTTGCAGACACTTCCGGGTAGGGCATTTTTGCATTTGGGGGAGAGATCCTTTCAATGGACCCCAGCAAAATTGATAAAATTAAGGATCCAGTGACTGTCATTTGGACCTCAGCAAATTGTTCCACCAATATGGGGGCCAGGTGACAGGTGCCAGGAGCGAGAGATGCCGCTTCTCTCTGACCAGGCGGTGCCTCCATCAGCTTGAAGCGCGCCCGCCTGCGGACGCTGCCGCGGATCGCCCGGTGCCCTGGGAGCCTGTAGCTTGCCGGTTCGATAGGCGGGGAAGGAGAAATGGAACGAACCCTATAAACAAGGCTATTCAGTAAGCACGGTTAAGATCGGATAAGCAATCCAGAAGTTCATTCGCAACAGAATGACCGCGGAAGAAACAAACCACAACAATCCCCTATGGGTTCCTTTATTCGGGAAACCCCAAACGGTTCATTCTCAACACCCGGAAGGGTCATGCCCTACTGAGAACCAACCGTCATTCCCTCAATCCCACTCCATAAAGCCTCACCTTCTCCAGAAAATAAACACTGAGGCGAAGGGATGGCATAAGATCTCCCCATTCAAACATAAATCATAAGTAACCAACATGACAAAGACAATGACAATAGTGGTTCACATCACCACCACCACCACCACCACCACCACCACCACCACCACCACCACCACCACCACCACCACCACCACCACCACCACCACCACCACCACCACCACCACCACCACCACCACCACCACCACCACCACCACCACCACCATCACCATCACCATCACCATCACCATCACCATCACCATCACCATCACCATCACCATCACCATCACCATCACCATTACCATCACCATCATCATCATCATCATCATCATCATCATCATCATCATCATCATCATCATCATCAGTAATTGATTCTTCTCACCCGGCGGTATGAGGTTGTTAGATTTCAATTGATGCCCGGCAAAACGCCCTTCGCGGACCTCAGAGCCCTCTTCCACCACAACAGATGTTCTAGACAGCAATTCCTAACAGCTGTAGCTCCATCTCCGAGCGCGACCAACCTCGAGGCTCCCAGTCAGACAGCTGCAGATCAAATTCTGAGGCTTCCGTCAGTTGCCCGACCCAGATATATCAGCGTCCCTCCAATCGGCGGTTTCCCATTGCAGGGTTTTCCTTTGAGGACCTCAGCAGGCATTGCTTGCCATGTGCTGAACTGCTACGGACTCCCGACTCTGCCGCCTTCAGGATTCCGAGGGCAAGATCAACCTCTCTTTGGAGGCGGGTGTGCTCTTGCATCGCTGTGACGCTGAGGGAATGGGGATCCGGACCTTTCAACGTGACGCGTCACGTTTTCGTGCAACACGGGCCGTGCAAAATGGCCGCCGGCCGCCTAGGTCCCACTTTGCAGGTCCCAAGGCGCCAAAGAGCCACGCCCTTTGGCCCGCCATCGGTCCCGGAAACACGTCGATGGCACCAAGCCAAGTGCAGCATGACACGACCTTATGCCCAAAAAGGAGGGGTGAGACCCGCAGGATTGCGACATCCTAGAGTCCCTCACCTTCCAGAACATGAGGTGGGCAGTTGCAGTCAATGGCTTCGGAAGTCAGAAAGGCGCACAGACATTTATGGGTCAAGAGATGTCTGGTGGATATGAGGCGTGGTCAAAGGTCCCGGGCTTTGGTCAATCTGGAGGCAGAAGCGGGACTCACTGAATAATAGGTTAACTGTCCCATGTCTGTTAGGGTCTCAGATTCTTCTGACCGTGGCCCTTGCACATCCGCCACTGCTTGATCCTGCCTGTGGTGGGGCCAGCAATGGCCATCTTGAGACTGGCATTTCGCTCTGCTTGAGGCAAATGATGTAGGAGTGGCAGTGGCAAACCCTATCAAAGCCTGGTAGCGTCGCAGATGTTGTGCACTGCGCCCTGAAAGCGGTTGGTGCTCTGTGTCAGGGTCGCGGTGCCCGCCATGTTGGCCACATCTGGAAGTAAAAAAGTCAAGATATACATATATATATATATGTACATATATATATATATATGTATTATTACTAATTCTTGCTACCAACATATGAATATATCAGGAGGCTTGGCATAGGGCAGCTGCCTCTGCGCCAGGCTGCAGCTGCGAGGCCTCCACTTCCGGAAGCCCTGCGACTTCTTGGAGGCCAGGCACGCATCGAAATCCAAGCGTTTGAGCGTGGTATGAAATCACCAGGAAATGGGCCGCAGGTTACATCGTCCATGTTTCCATTCACCAGGGCAAGCCATTTTGGGGTTACCAACCTTTTTTTGACCCACAGCCGTTTGAAGGAACACGGCGGCGCAGAACTCTGGGGTAGACTTGGGAGACATTCTACATTTTGCCAGTGACTTAAATTGAAGCAAACAATGAAGTATAGATTCTATGACTGGGCCGAACTCTAAGCATGAACTGAGGCTCAAATGGTCAAAGGTAGAGGTTCCACAAAAATACGGCTTCCAACGCCAGAGACCCGCAAGGCCAAGGCTGGAGAGAGCGCAGGCCAACAACCACAAATGCCAGAGGGTAGTGGTTCCCTTCTTTTCCCCTGGGAGGAATGGCAAATGGTAAGTAGGGACGGATTCAGTTGCTTGAGGGGCCTAGTAGTGGTTTCCTGTCCCACAACGGATTGCTGCAAGCCCGAACCTCATTTTCATCGAGTGCCCCTCCAAAATACTTTCCCCCAAACAAAGCATAAACCATAAGACTGTCTCTGTCCGGCCGAGGGGGGCCCTTAAAAATGGAAATGGGGGAGGGGGGTCATTCCATTTATGGTGAGCCATTTTCCGTTTTTCGTGGGAAGACTAGAGGAACGAAAATGGGCACCCCCCACCCCGCTCCCCCAAAAGGTAGGGATCCGGTGATGGGGGCCAACCCTCGCGCGGCCCAGCCCGTCTTCTTTGCAGGTGGAGTTCCCCGACCAGATTTGCGACATCGACTTCCCCAGGCGCGGGTTGAATTTGTTTTTCTTTTTGTCAGAGTCGGATTGGTGTAACAAACCATTTGGCTGTGGGTCAAAACCAATGGTACCATTTTGTGCACCACAGTCTATTTTAGTGGGGATTGAAATGTTCACCAGGGGTACGGGCTTTTGACCCATGGATTATGGCCATTTGGTGGAGGAGAATATGTCATGCTCTTTGAAAAGAACAACCATTTGTTTTCCTTGTCGGTTTTTATTTGAAGGGAATCGGTTTCACTACTGGAAGTATGTGCTCTCTATTTTCCAGGGGGCAAAATATCAAATGCGAGGTAGCTTGTCCAGACCTGGCGGGCCTTGCGGAACCTGAGCGGAGTTCTTGCCACATGTGACACTCGGCATGTTTCCGTTTTGGGCCCCCCGCTAGGTGCCTTTTCTCACCCCTTGTTTGGTTGGGAGGGTTCCCCTACTAAAAAAGACTGCAGAAACAAGGGTAGCCTTATTCTAAACTTTTTAGTGGAGGACCCAGTTTCAAACAGGAGCAGCCGCGAGCCATGTGAGAAGAGCACGTCATACAGGATGGGTCTGCAAGAGCATAGAGGCTGGGATCCCAATGGTTTTTGCTGGCGTCCTTTTCCTGCAGTCATGGCTTGTTGAGTCAGATTTTCTTACTTCCTGGCCTGTGAATTTTGGTGTAGGATTGAAGCCACAAAGAAAGTCAAGCTGAAGCTCCGGGCCTCAAAGTACCATCCCGTTTGAATGGGCCAGCTCGACCCATTGCCTTTCCGAGCTGAAGCATCGCCCAAGCTTGAGCAAGTTAGCTGACCCAAAGGGCTTGCTTACATCTTGTTTGATTCTAAAAGGAGTTGACCTTCAGCCCTTGGCTGCAACACCCAGCGCGCACCACTTTTGCGGCTGGAATTTGACCTTAACAACCCGAGCCAGCGGGGTCGCATTTTGCTTGCAGCGTTCTCTGGACGTTCGCCAGCTGTCCAGATTTGGGTATGGGTCAAAAGTAAACCACCAGGGTACCGCAGCTGTGAGTCCTTGTTTCCATTTAGCAGGTTCAATTGTGGGGTTACCCTATTTTTGACTGAGTCATTCCCATTTCCCATTTCCTTGCCGCAAACCTTGGGTCAATGTTGGGGTTACCCTATTTTGACAACCACACCCATTTCCGCTGAGTCCTGGCCGTTCGAACTCGTGAACTCTTTCCTGAGATCCAAAGGCCAAAACGCCGAAACGCGGGAGCCAGGGGCTGCAAGTTCTACAACGTCCGCTTCAAGGAGGGCTTGCAGGCCCACGTCGATTCGAAGCTGGCACGCAACTCATGTAGGGGAACGCAACAATATCGGCTTGCTGCCTCCTAAGGCTTCTTATGTAAGTGCAGGGCATGTGCACTGGTGAGCCAACTGGTGCTTTGGCAGCCGGCATTCAGTAGCCAACAGGATGATACGGCTGTGGTGGTCAAAACCGTTTTGGAATCCCATTTTGGGGTAGGTGAACTCACCACCCATTTTGGAACCTATTTTAGTGGGGATTGGGATGTTCACTGGGGTATGGGCTTTGACCCATGGCCATATGGGGCTCCTTATGCAAGTGCAGGGCATGTGCACTGGTGAGCCAACTGGTACTTTGGCAGCAGAACCGCACACACACACACACACACACCCACCCACCCACCCACCCACCCACCCACGCACGCACGCACGCACGCACGCACGCACGCACGAACGCACCCACACACACACACACACACACACCCACACCCACCCACACCCACACCCACACCCACACCCACACCCACACGCACACGCACACGCACACGCACACGCACACGCACACGCACACGCACACGCACACGCACGCACACGCACACGCACACGCACACGCACACGCACCCGCACCGCACGCACGCGCGCACGCGCACGCGCACGCGCACGCCACACCCGCACCGCACCCGCACCCGCACCCACCCGCACACGCACACGCACACGCACACGCACACGCACACGCACACGCACACGCACACGCACACGCACACGCACACGCACACGCACACGCACACGCACACCCACACGCACACCCACACCCACACCCACACCCACACCCACACCCACACCCACACCCACACCCACACCCACACCCACACCCACACCCACACACACACACACATATATATATATATATATATCCGCTACCCTCTAGAAGTACTCCCCTTAGTATTGGGAATTTCGGTGTCTGGAAAAAATGAAACAATTGAGAATAGGGTGCACAAATTGGGGGAAGAGCTGGCTGGAGCGCATGAGTTGACGAATTGAATGTGAAAGGATTTGGCCGGGCGAGCCTTGAGCCTTGGGGGGAAATAGGGGCCTAGGGATGTAAACTTGCGCCTCTTTGCTCACAGCTTATCCCAATGCTCGCCACATCGGGAAAGACCCAAACCGCCTATGTGACCAGCCAGGAGGTCTCGCTTTCTTCTTGTTTTTGTATTTTGTTGTTTCCTTTCTGGCCTTGAAACAGATTACCCGTTGGTGGTTTGGATTGGCTTGGGGAATTGAACCCTAGGTTTTTGTCGAGGGTAAATGGAAAGCCACCCCCGAACCTCCAAACCACCAATCCAAACCACCGATTAGCAGAAGCTGATATTTCGACTGCTTTGCGGCCACTTTGACTTGCCCTGGGATCAAATTGCCAGCGGCCCGTCGCGCGACAGGCCTGCGTCACAAATGGCTGTCGTTTCGAGCCGGCGCCTCAAACCAGCCGTTTCGAGGCGCGTGAGGGCAAGAAAGACTTCGTTGCTTCCAGCTTTTGGTCATGGAGCTCGCGAGAACAAAGCAAGATCGGTTGCAGATCGATGGTTTTCAGATGCCGGCCCTGCCATGCCAAGATACTGCAACCTGGGCTATGGCCAAGATGCGGTGGCTGATTGTCTCATGACGCAGCCGCAGCCTCGGAACAATGGTTGAACCCCGCGCAAGCACAAACACCCACAAAATCGACTCCTGCCGCTGGCATGTGCAAATGGGAAAGGGCGAGTCCGTACCAACAAAACAAGGCCATGAGATTGTTGTTGCCCCACAACTCTTGCGCAATCCATCGACGAGCGTTTCCGGGATTCGACTCTCAACCCGAGCTCCGCCTCCCAGCTTTGGATACCCCATGTCGAACGCAGAGAGCGAGAGCTACAAAGGAACATCTAGTTTTAACCAAAGGACACCTATGCCGGGTCATCTCGTTTTTGCGAAAAGGGCAGCGCGTGTCTTTGGGTGTTGGATAGGTTTCCAGGGCTTCGAAATGCACGCCATGCGTCCGAATCCGGGGCTGAATCCTGGCCTGGGACGGAGTTGCTGCCGATCCATTGGTAGCCTGTTTCAGCATGCCCCGCCAGCGTTTTCGATGCATAAGAAACCTTGAGGTGCTATTCTTTTTGGGGGGCCCTTGGTTGTCTTCAAAGGCGAACTACCATTTTTGGGACTTCCAACCTTAAAAACTTGCTGGTTCTTGGCAGAGAATGAGGGAATGACCCTTGCGGTTTTCGGTGCGGGAATCCCAAATGGTTCATTGCCAACACCCGGATAGGGTCAATTGACACACCCGCATGAAGATCCCTCAGCAGCCCCGCACTTCATTTGCGTGTGTCATTTTTCGGTTGTACCTTTTTTTTTCTCCCCAACAGCTGAAAGCTTTGGGGTCTCAGCCCAGATAGGCGCCGGGGTGGTCCCGGGCGGCCCTGAGGTAAGGTTCCACCAGGGTCACCAGGGTTCCACCACGGTTCCACCAGCGTAAGGTTTCTTACGAGGGTTGGTTCCACCAGGGTTCCACCAGAGTTCTTCGAGGGCTGCGGGGTGGTCTGGGGTGGTTTAAGGAAGGTTCCACGCGGGTTCCACCAACCAGGGTTCCACCAAGGTTCCACCAATTTCTTCGAGGGCTGCGAGGGCTCCACCAGGGTTTTTACAAGGGTTCCACCAGGGTTCCACCAGCGACTGCGGGGGTGGTCCGGGGTGGTTTGAGGTATGGTCACCAGGGTTCCACCAGGTTAAGGTTCGAGTGTTTCTCCTGGTTCCACCGCGGTTCCACCAGAGCTCCACCGGCTGCAAGGGCTGGGGTGAGGTAGGTTCTTTGCTGGTTTCGTTCCACGAGGTTCTGCGAGGGCTGTGGGATGGTCCAGGGCGGCCCTGAGGTGTCACAGGGTTCCACAGAGCTCCGGAAGGATTTTACAAGGGTTCCACAAGGCTCGGTTCCACAAGGGTTCCAGAAATGTTCTGCAAGGTTCCGTGGTTTGCGCTGGAGGGAAGCAGTGTGTCGTGCGCCCGCCGTCAGAAAAAAGCCGTCGGAGCAGTGAATTGAGGGCTCAGAAGATCGCTTTGCTCATGGGCGGAACGCTAAGCAAAACCGAAATCAATGGTTTTCAGCACACTTTCACGGTTTTGTCACTTGCTCACTTGCGGCCCGAAATGTTGGCTTTGTGGCAAATCAGATCACGTTGCTGCGGGACTCACGGTGCAGCAGAGTAAATGCTTGGCATTGCTGAGTATTACTTGGTGGGCTTTGGGTTCCAAGAATTCCACGAGGCAGCGAGGGCAAAGGCTTCAAAAGCGCTCCACGAGGTTTCCACCAGGTTCTGCAAAAGCTTATGGTCCAACAAAGTTTCACGCTGAGTTCCACGATAGTTGCACGAGGACGGTTTGCGAGGTTCAGCGGGCCCAGGTCGGGGCCCGATTGCACCGTCGGGGCCCGATGACACCGTCAGGGCCTGATCGGCCGCGACTGCGCCATCGCGCCCCGATCGGGGCCCGACCCAGCCGGGCCCCGCGAACTGTACCAAGCTGGCATCGCCTAGTTTTGCTAGATGCAGTTGTAAGGACGCATCCTAAAGAAAACCGGCGTTGAGCTATCATGTGGCCACCACGAAACCATCGGGCCGCCCCGAGTGCACCGTCGGGCCACGATCGGGCCCCGATTGCGCCGTCGGGCCCCGATCAGCGCGATTGCGCTGTCACTCTTAGCTTTGCTTTATAAAGTTACAAGGCGGCATCCTCAGCAACAGCGGTGAGGTGGGTCCCGGTCCCCCGCGAGGATTCTGGGAGGGTGTGGTGCCTGAGAGTATTTTTTGAACAGAAGCCGAAGGGAAAACCTCGTTTTTTCTGGGGGGGGGAGGGGAAGTTCCAACCTTAAGAAATGACACACCCAAATTTGAGCATCCGTTTCTCTCATGGCCACGCAAAGCTTCAAACTCCAAGGTGTCACTTCCAAGCCTGCCGCTTCCCCTTCCTGGAGGATAACTCCCCGGCCTGGGGCCCTGGGTTCGTTGGGTGGGGGGTGGGGGAGTCGTTGGCGCCAGGTGGTTGGGGCAAATGGGGTTGAAGGTTATGTGGATTTGGATGGTACGCCCTCATCTTTGATGGCTTTCAAATGGCATCTTTGGTATGCCCTCATCCGAATCCTTTCAGTGGCTTCAAATGGAATGGCACCTTTAAGAGGAGACCGCGCGCTTTGTTGGCTTCCACGTTCCGAGAGAGATCAACAGATAGATCGGCAGAGCTTCAAACACACACATCCAACGGTCATCATGTGCATTTATTTCGTTACATTTGGCCAGGGATTAAGGCAAGCGTCATGGAGTTTGGCTTGCAGATCCACACATCCTGCGACCCATGGGCTGGACATGTACAAGATAGAAACATATATATATATATATACACATGTGTATATAACTATGTGTAAAATTAAATATGTACGTCTAATACATGCATGTATGCATACATACATACATACATACATACATATATATATAGATATACGCAGATATTCAATTCTGATAAGAATGGGTTTTTGATGAGTTCTGTGGCTTGGTTGCGATCGGCCAGGTTTGCTCACCCCCACAGAGGATTGGCCCTGACAACGTTGCAGGCAATCTCCACCGTAGGATCAAAGGAGTATCTTCATAGTCATCCAGTGCAGCCCATCAAAGATGGCTGGCGCCAGCCCGCGTCCGCGTGTTAGGTGGCCAACATTGCAGGCAGCAACTTCATTGCTTGCCGCATCCAGTGGAGTGGGCCCTTTGCCCATGAGGCGCGCGCCCCCTGTGACCAGGGGAAGACAGTGAGCCACCTGGGAGCAGTGTGTTTGAATTAGAGCTTTGCTTACCCCCAGCAGCGTGTTTCTCAAGGTGCCGTGAGGGATTGTCCAACAATCCGGCAGTCGGCTAGTGCAGCTTCGTTGGACTTGAGCAATTGCTTCCCATCAAAACATGCATTTGCCTTCCCCCCGCAATGATAGATATCCCCTCGAATATCAAGAGGAGAGACGGATTACATACTGTGTGGCAATGTGTTGTGAGCTCATGCTGCATGAAGCGACGAGGGCGAGGGATGTATCAAACATAAGCAGCTCGGCCAGTGCGTTGTTGAGCTGCATTTGGTGTTAGGTTCCTGTAGATGACAACATCGGACAATTGCTTTCTCACCCTTGTTGCGCTTTGTTCCCTCTTAATGAACAAGCAGAGGTTCGCCGCACAATCTTTTCTTTTTTTGTTAAAGCAAACCCCATTGACACTGGAAATTGAAGGTAGTGGTCCTGCACTACAACTTTGCTTGGATACCTGCGAAGGGCCAATAAGTGGAGAAGGCAATTTTCACCATGCGCATTGCAATTCCTACATAGTAAGTCCCAAGAGCGCGCAGCTTGCCGCTCACGAGCCGACTGAGCCAAATTCAAACCCCAACGCGGTCTACTGGCTTGACAACCCCGATGCTTCTCGGCGGCGAGGGCGTCGAGGCACAGCGAAGGAAGGGCACTTCCCTGGGTAAAGGGGCGACCGGGTACTTAGTAAGTGGTTAGTCACTATGGTTATAACCCACTGAACGGAGACTTATAACCATGGCTTTAGTGGGTTATAACTAGTTATAACCATGGTTGCTAACCACTTGCTAAGTCCCCGATCGCCCCTTTTAGTAGGGGCAGGGCGGGGGGCCTATGTTATTCCCTATGTTATTCCTGGCTGGGACTTTGATTTCGCTCGCCAGGAGAGCTTCGTGATCAACTCTCACTGGCTTCGGAAGTGGAACTTAGCAGGCTGCACTGTGAGCGACACAGCCATTGGATAGTTTGGAAGAGGTGGCGAGAGGTGGGTCAACCACTGTTTTTTGAATGTCCTTGTGCTGGTTTCCCTGAACAACGGTGGCCAGGATCTGGTTAGGCAAACGCACGTTGCCCGCTGCTTGCCACCCAGTGTTTCAAGCTGCAAGTGAGCAGACCCTTTGCTGCGGCTGAAGCCTTGTGGAGCTTGTTTTGCCTAAGCACTCTTCGCAGCAGCGTTAAAGCAAAGCAAGGCTGACACTGTCGTGCGGCATGGAGGGAGTTTCCGATTGGATCTCAGATTTTTGGACTTGTTTTATTACCTTTTGAATCCCAAAGCATTGCGTATCAGGTTCAATTAGTGCCTTGGGGACAGCATAGCACGAGTGTGGTGAAGCTGGTGCTGCTTGGTTGCATTTCCCAGGCGGCTCCGTCTCAGAATGCTTCCATTTGCTGAAAATCATATTGATTATTCTCCCCTCTTGGCTACCTGGTTTTGAAGGGAATCTATCACTACTGGAAATATGTTGTTATGCTTTCCAGGGTGCTTAAGCAAATGGAGGAATGGAAATGCATCGGATACCTGGCGCAGTGTACAGCCCAGACCAGCCAATGGGCATGAGCTGCTGAGATGGCCGTGGGACCCCGGCGCCGGGACAACAAAATGGGCGTGCCCGCTTGCAATGCGACAAAGGCACCACTTACAGTCCTACAAAATAACATGGAACCGTTCGACGTTTCGGGGGGGGGGGGGCTGGTTTGGACAATTTTCCGCTTTAAGGGACCCCAAACGTCAGGTTCCATGTTGATTGGTGGGAGGGTATTATATTAATCCACAATGGTCAATGCATGTTATCGGCTTTTCCTTATCAGCCAAGACAAGTTAATCAGTTGTTAGCTTGAAGAAAGTTGGATGTTTTGATGGGGACGCACTTGCCAGCCGTGAACCGTGGAAGTGATCAGGAGAGGCCGTTCTCAAGTGTAGCCATGCGCATTTGACAAGCTTTATTTGTGACCCTGGAATGGATTATGATGGAGTCAGGTAGGGACGGGAGTGCAAAGGGGTTGCTCCAGGCTTCTCCAACGACCTGGACCTTCCAAAGTCCACGCAGTGTTTGATGGACTAAGATGATGTGGGAACTAGCTGGCGTTTGGCAAGCAAGGCAGCAACTATGAGTTGTTCGTTCAACCGGTTTTGCGCGATTTGCTTATTAGGCTGGTAACTTTGTGGATGGTGCCGGGATGCGCGCATGTTTGACACCTCAATCTGTTTCAGATTGCTTTACCGAGAAAGGCTAGGCTAGGCCTTGCTACCGGCAGATGGTGTGATGCAGGCTCAGGGCAAACGGGGCCGCCAAGCTGACACGGAACTTGACAGGGGTTCCATGTCAGTTTGTTCCGGTCAGTTTGGCACGTCGGGAGCACGGGCGGCCCGTGACGACACCAGCCCCAAAGCCACTTCCGGAGCACAAGCCACTTCCAGAGCACAAGCCGCTTGAAATGATGGAATAAGATCTCATGTGGCCTGCAATTTGCAAACTCGCTCTCTTTTGGGTCAGTAGATGCATCCCGCTGCCGTTTCTGCTTCAGTGTTCGCAGTCTCAGGGGGCAGGTGCATCTTCCTGCCCTGGAAGTACACAGTGCGCCTGGGGAGGGATGCCTGAGACAGAGGGGGAGGGTGAGAGAGAGAGAGTGAGAGAGAGAGAGTGAGAGAACGACTTGCTGGTGCTCAGTAGGGTCCCCTTAAAGGAAGCTACCAGTTGGATGGTTAAAGGAATAATTCCGTTTCTCATTCCCTGCCTATCCAACCAGCAAGAAAAGAGAGAGAGAGAGAGATAGAGAATGCTCTCGTTCTGCAATAGGCAACTCGGGCAGCATTGTCCGGACAAATGTGAAGTGCTGTTCAGCGAGGCCTTGTTGACCGATTTGGCAAGTTGGATGCGCCGCTGGGTCGCCGTGGAAGCTTTTTACATTCGCCTCGTGGTCCTAGTTTCCCACGCTGGTTTTATTTGCAAGGCCACTTTGGCGTGGCTTTCCAGGTCTTTGTTTCGGGACGAACCCGAGCGGAAATGTAACCGAAAAGGGGCCACTTGAGCCGCTCCAACGGCGGCACTGGCAACTTCACCCGTCCGTTTTGGGGCCTCTGTGCTCAAAACCTGCAGACTCGTCCTCGTAAGTTGCGTGCAGCTTTGTGTTGCGCGAATGGCGTAGCACTCCCTGGGTTTGTTTGCCCTGCTTTTCTGGCTGCGGTCCTCAACCTTCAGAGGTACTTTGCCACGGCTCGCCATGGGAAATACGTCGCCGCAGCCTCAGCGCCAGAGGTGTGAGCGATGGCCCTAGGAGACGGCGGGAGGGGAGCAAAAAAAGCTCCACGCAAGTCGCATGCGTTGGTCAAGCGGCCCTTGGGATTCTGGCAACAAAGGGAAACCGTTGCCATGTCGGATTCAGGTTTCCCAGGAACAAGCAAGATCAGTTTAAACACACGTGGGAGAGTGTCTGTTTTTTGGGGTACCCCTTTTGTTGCGGTTTTGAAAGAGAAATCACAAGGACAACCACCACTTTTTGGCCAGCTAAGAAAGACGTACTCATGTGTCGCCATGCAGCTCCTGACTTCGTGTCTTGCTTGGCAAGGCATCAGCTTCAAGCAGATGCCATGCCAGCCGGTCAGTGGCACCAGTTTTTTTGTTAATACATATATATATATATATATATGTATATATATATATGTTTATCAGAAGCCGAGGTCTCATTCACAGTTGCGCCAACCCCAAAGCAGCGTTTCTCGATCCCTTGGTCCTAGGGTGCTTGGACAACTATTCTGAGTCGCGGGTCAGCCATTCAGGACGTGCCCGACCAAAAAAAGACTAGGTCCCCCAGTAGTGCCCTTTTACCCTTTTTTGGGGAGGGTTCCCCTACTAAAGTAGACTACGGACAAAAGGGTACCCTTATTCGAACCTCTCTACTGCAGGACCTAGATGACTACTTTGAGTCGGTTTCTCTTGTGCAAAGCTTGGGTTGCTCCATGGTGCGTCAAGCTGCAGGTGCTGCAAGTCTGACACCGCGCCCAGCGTGGACGCAACGGTCGATGCCAAGCCGGCGATGGACGGGCAGCTAATTTTTCGTTTGTGTGTTTTGATGGGGGTTCCTGAGCTCTCGCTCACTGAGTTCCTGGACTGTCGTCACTTTTTGGGTTTGGACCATTTAACAATTTGAGTGTGGGTCAAAACCAATGGGATCCCATTTTGGGGTAGGTGCACCACTCCTTATAGGCTTTATTTTAGTGGGGATTGGAATGTTCACTGGGGGTACGATTTGGATTTTGACCCATGGCCATGTGAGTGGTACTTAAAAGTTTGGTTACTTGTTTGGCCACAAGCCACTCGGGAAGTGAGCTACGGGCGAGATACAGGTCGGCAAGCTTGAACATCGTTTTACCCGGTGTTCTCATAACCTTCCTTATAAACCATTGGGGCAGCGGTCAAAAGGTTTAGGAAAGCGACAAGGTGGTTGCGTTTCAAAAATAAGGAATTTCTCGTCATTCTCTTTGGCGGTCATGCGTGCAGTCACTACACACGTCACACAGGCAGCGCCAGAGATTCCGCGAGATTCGCGCCAGTTCAGCACTAGTCTTAAGGAAAGCAGCTGCTTGTTGGAAGATTGTTGGCTGGGGCGGATGGGTCGGCCTGAGGAGATGTTGGTCAGATCAGCACATTACCCGCCCCTGACGCGAGGGGTTCTAGTAGAATCATCTCTTTGCTCAGGGCTTGCATGGCAGCCTCTGGTGTGCTCTGTCAGAAGCGGGCGATCAGCGTTGCTGGGTATGGCTGATGAGAAGGCACACCTGTGGCCTGGCCGGTGTCATGCTATGATCAAATCGCTTGGGCTTCTCTGGTCAATAGGGGTGGCCTTTGGGATGAGAAAGCCTTTAGCTCACTTCCTGAGTTGCTGGACTTTATACGTTCGTGGGAAGACCATTTCAGCGGCCAATCAAAAGTCGGAGTTTCTTGTTCTGCGCCATCTCGGGAAGTGAACCGAGAGTTGCATCAATCCTGATTTCGGGAAGCAACCCTTTTCCGAAGCGCTTGATCCTTTTGTGGTGCGGCAAGTCGAGATCCTTGGAGGACAGCTCTCTGGCAGCTTTGCCGTCAGTGGCTGGAGGGAATTCAGACCAGGAGCGGGTTTGATGAGAGCATATCAGCTTCCCTGGGCTTGTGTGATGTTCAAGGCAATGTGGGGCACCATTTTTTTTAAAGGGGGGGGGTCCTCCCGTAAAAGAATTTGAGGGGACCCAACAGAGGAAAGCCGCTATAAGAGGTTCTTGCATCTGTGCCTTGGTACCTGTTTAGCATTGCGTTGGGTTAGTATCGGTTTGTGCTAGTTTGGTATTTGTCCTTTCCGCTCCTTTTCGGTCTTTGTCAACCCTCTGTGATTAGTATTGGTTTAGAATTGGTTTAGTGTCGGTTTATTATTGCTGAATACTAAGCCTCAGTATTGGTGTAGTATTGGTTTATGATTTGGAGATGTTCCGCCACATGTCTTGCCTCCCTTGGCAATGAGCACCCTTTGTCAACTCTTATTTTGGAGTCTGGGCCTCGGCCGTACTCCCTTCTTGGACAATTCTTGGCTGAGCTTTTCAAGAAGGCTTAGATAAAAGGTTTGCAGCTTGGGGGCACTTACATTTTTCCGGGCTTCTCGATGTTGAAGAAACTTGTAGGCACCATGCCATCATCTGCATCGTGAAGGGTTCCCTTTGTAGTGGTCGCTCATTTCAGCTTGGTGACTGATCAGGTTTCACCCACTCAACGTATGTTTTGGGTCCGTGACTGATTGGCTTTCACCCATTCAACGTATCATTTGGGTGGGGTCCAGCCACCTGAAGCAGAAACCGTCACAAGTGGCTTGACACTTTAGGAGCGAGTCTACACCGTCAAGCTAATCAAGCCGGGCGCTTGGAGTTTTTGCAGCCAAGGCTCACGGACGGAGGGGTAAAAAAAGCAACACACGTTTCGGGCTGTCAAATTTTCTCGTTTGGGGGGCTTGGACTTGGGCTTTCGGTGGGGAGCCCTAAATGTTCCTTTTGTGGTGGTTTGAAACATCACCTTTTGGCCCACTTTAAAGTGAGTGTTAAAAAAAAAAAAAATGAAAAGGGAAGTATAGGGAGCCCTGTTTCGGTGAGGATCCAGGACCTCAAATTCACTCATGCCTGATGATATGCCCATCTCAGGGATGCTAGGCTGCTACTTAGCTGTCGCCGTGGGCAACGTGGTGAATTCGTTAGATGGATGAGCTTCCTGCTGGATTTGGTTCTGCTCGCGGTTCGCCATCAACATCGTAAACTTTCTCACACGTTCACTCAGAACGAGCTTACCCATGATCAAGGTTTCTTCATAGGATTTCATTTCTCCAAAAGTGTGAACTTTGTCAATGTGTGTAGGTCCCTAATTAATTAGTAATTGTTAAGGGAGGCGACTATCCATCTCCCGTGAGAGTTCTGACCATGACTAAAGTTTTGGGATTTTCCCCCACCCTCGCCTGCCCTTACCAGAATTCATGCTACACATTTGCAGTACGCGTTCATTGGTTCAGATGGAGCTGGCAACCAGCAGAGTCCTAGAGGTTTTGCACGATGCCAGCAAAGATGAAATGTTGTTTCATATCCTACAGGGCTGGATCCACAAACGTTTGTGCTTGGAGAAGCGGATTCCGGTCAACGTTTTTGAGGTTTGGTGCATTTCGCTTGGATGTTATGGTTTTGCTAACTAATGGTTTTCCATTAAACCACCAAGCGTTTTAAACTCTTAGCAGGGGAGCAGAAAGCAACCGAGGAAAGGTTTTTGTGTTCCATTTGGATTCCACCCGTGGGGTTGGAAAGCTTTGTTTGACCGGTCAAAGTGGACGAGGTCTGGCGACATGAAGCTCGGCCTGGACGTGGACTATATGGCGGAGCGCCCCTCCCAGCGACCTCTTAAGGGCAAACCAAAAAGGCTACCCTCAAACGAGAGGCACAATTTGTTGACTTGTTTTTTGGGGTCCAGGTCTTTCTTTTGCCTATCCGCAAGCCTCGAGAGGGGGCTCCTTCCCCGCAGAGTGCATGCCCTCGATGCATCAGCAACCCCACCCTTGGTGCCAACACGACGCCGTCTTTCTTGGCCCTTTAGTCTCAGCGTACTGAGGCTTCTCGGTTGTTCTCAGCCATCTCCTTAGGATTTTCGCCTTGTCCTTTTGGTGGTAGTTTCCAATTTTTTCCCGCCAAAAGTGCGTCACTTCTAGCAGGGGATCCGACATCGGACAGCCCAGACTTCTAAGCGACGTCCCTTTTATCTCTGCGTCGGTGCCCAGCCGCTGCCGCAAGAAAACGAGGCGCACCGTGCTGCCGATCATGACGGTCACAGGGGGCGTGGCGGAGCCAGAAGCCCAGCGAAACGATCAAAGGGAAGACATCAGTTGATGCGTGGTGGTCAAAATTGGGGGGCGATTTTGTGGCATCCCTTGCAAGGCGGCGCAAGGCAGCAGGAATTGTTCCTGACAATTCCCCTGCGGTGGCTTTTTCAGGTTTGGAGATGTTTGGAGTTGAACTGGGGTCAATTTGCCCTCCCCCGAAGCGATTCCATGGAAGCTCCCAGGACCCCTTTGGAAGACTTGGTTCCATTTACAGAGGCCTTCTGGGAGCTTCCATGATAATCTGAGGGAGGATCTGCATTTTGACCAATTCTGGGGGTCAACGTCAGAAACTGGTTGGTGGTTTCCCTTTAACCTACTTGGAGGGTGACTTTGCATACTGGGGACCCCAACATGTTTGGGAAAGTTTGGGCATTCATCAAGTCTAGTTGGCATGGCAATGCCCAGGACCATATCCATTGGGCATACCCCAAGCCATTTAGCCATAGAGGACCCCTCTGTTTCAGGAAACTCCCGCTTAAGAAAGACGGTGAGAAGAGAGGCTCGCGTGACGCCGTGCAGCCCATCCCTTTCCCAGCTGGAAGCTCGGCTCGGCTTTAGGCTTTTGTTCTGAGGCTCTGGAACAAGGAGAACCCCGACTTCCAGATTTGCAAGGGGGCGCGGCGCTTACCATCTCGAGGGTCGAGATCCAGGCACCCTGCCGGAAGTGGCAATTCGGCGCTTTGGGTGGGGGGGTCCATGAAAGGCGCAAGATGAAACCAAGGTCAGTTCAAAAAGGCCTGCAGGGAGCTTTGTGAATTTGTGGATGGCAGGATATGGTCAACATGAGGTCAATCACCTTGAAGGCCACGTGGCCCACTGGAAAAAGTCACATACATATAGGTGTCCTTCTTTGGTTGTTTTGGTAGAGCATAGATGGCCCATGATGACCCTGGTTGACCTGGTCGTTTCATCATCTACCATGGCCATCTATTTCCCCAAAAGGACACCTATGGTTACACACGCCTTACCATTCCCGGCCTCGCAGCAATGCTCCTCCATGTTCTTCACCCATTCGTTGGTCTGAAACCCACGGCACGGAACCCAAGGACAGCATCTTGGAGGCCAATGGCGTGGCAGGCCGAGATTTGGGAGTCCCTGGCTTCAGTTCATGCGCTGCGATGCTACCTCATGGGTCCTGAAGCACACTAGTGCAGCTTCCCCAAAGTTGGTTTTTGGGATTTGAACCCGCCAAATGAGGAAGGTCGCCCCTAACGTCCAAACCACCAAACCAATCACCAAACAGCGCGAAGCTGAGTAGTGTGTGATGATCTTGGTTTAAAAGCTGGCACCCGGGCAGGTGATGTAGCCCAGATGCTGGACAAGTGCAAAACGGACAAGGAGCTGGAGCCCAGCCCTCGGTATAGGCCCGTACCCAGCTCGAGGCAATATGGCTGCGAGCTGGGAGCATAGGTGTCCTTTTTGGTTGATTTGGTTGAACAATGCAGGGCCCTGGTTTACCTGGTGGTTCAATCAACTACCAGGGCCATCTATTTTCCCAAAAAGGACACTTATGGCTGGGAGGTCGTCCAAAGCCACACGGGATGAAGATACATCGGACTTTGACAAGACTAAGGCAGCGCGAAACAAACACATGGCTTGCACATTCCATCACATTCCTGTTTGCAAAACCACGGGGTAGATCCGTAAGGGCTGAACTAGCATGTTTTTGGCAGGCAGGCTTTGATACTGCCGCATGGTGAAATTCCACTAGGCACAAGTGAGTGTTTGTCATTCCTTTTGGGGTCTTGTGTCCTCCCTTCTTGAATCCAATGGTCATTCGTTTGGGAAGCCAACTCTCAGCAAAGAGCAAGTCGAACTTCCATTTCCGTGTGCATGCCTGGCATGTCAGTCAGCAACAAAAGCGCCGATGTTGTTTTGCTTGGACTTCGCCCTCAAAACTCTGAAGCACAACACCGAACCTCACACCACAACCAAGGTTCCAACAAAAGCTCTCAGCCCCCCCGAAACACAATGGCTAAGAGCACAGGTATGAAATACTGTGACATATCAGCATTAGGTTTTGTCGCTGCTCCGTCCTTCGGCCCAAGACTTCGCAAAACAAATTATCAGCGGTGCCCAGCTCAAGGGCCAAAGATGCATGCGAAATCAAGAGAGGCCTTCGGCACATTTCGAAAGTGCCATGTCGACTGTCAACTAGTTCAAAGCGAAGGCTCTCTAGCCTATTTAGCCGAGGGAACGGACCGCCGCGGGAAAGGACATGTGGCGCTTGCTGGCACTTTGCCCCTGCGCTTTGGCACATGGAGGTGCTTTGGAGAGGTTGCGCGCCCGTCCAAATTGTGGCAAAGGAAACACGTACCTTCATCCGATTGCTTTGGATAGTCGCAAATGCATCTGTATGGCAATGTTTAAAGATGGGTATGGGTCAAAAGTAAACCACCGGCCCCCTGCGTTTTGGTCCTTGGTTCTATCTACCAGGCTTCCATTCTGGGTAGCCATTTTGACCCAGAGCCAGATTTCTACACCAACCTGTCAACCTGCCAGGCCAAACTGGGGATGCGTCAAACCTAGGTACTGCAGTACTGCAAAACCCTTTGCTTGGCTATCATGGCTGTCATGCGGTTTTTGACTTCCTGGTCATAATGCTGCCCCGTTTTTGGCCACCTGAAGCGCAGACATGTGCCAGAAAACTCGGCTCCACACCCTGCGAGGTTCCCGCCGGAAGTGTCGAACGTGACTTCCTTTGTGGATAACTTCGACTTTGCGAACAATGCCACTTTTCACCAGAAGGCAGTGGGCGAGAATGATTGATGGTATATTTGTGTGTGTGTTTTTTTTGTGTTCTCTCTCTCCTCAGTTCGAGTCTAAGCTTTGTTCAGCTTGTTTTTTTTTTTTTTTTTATGGGACAGACTTGCCTGGCCCAAGCAAAACATGAGTTGGTTTCCTCTAGCTGCGAACTTACTGGCCCCCAAAAAAGACGTGGACAAGGGCACAACCTCCAAGGTTTGATTCCCCATTCTCTTCAGCCATCGTTCTCTTTAGAAACCAGCTATTTTTCAAGGGTTTGGCCCCCTGTTGTTGAAGGGAAGGTTCCGCGAAGAGAATGGGAAGGGTTTTGATGGTATGCTTTGGGTGCCCCTGAATGTTAGTGGGCACCTTTTTTCGTTGCCTTGCTGAGTCAAGACCCTCCGGACGCAACGGCAGAGAGAGAGAGAGAGAGCGAAGGGGCAAAACCTCTGGATCGATCTCCCGCAGGCTCTGACCTACAGCGCCTGGTGGCGCGCGGGGAATCCCATCTTCTTCTTCTTCGGCGGGGAGGGCTCGGTGGAGGGCTTTTACAACGCCTCGGGGGCAGTGTTCGAGCACGGGCAGGCGGGGTATTTTAGGAAAATGGGTGAAATACTGGCTTAAGCCCAAACCTAGGTCTCAAGCAAAGGGTGGTTGGAAGAATAGTTGCTTGGTGGTTCGTGGTTGCCAGCTGTCCGGTTCCTTAGGTTGTTCAGGTGGCTTCTATTTTACCCATTCTTTTCAATCATCGTTCTTTTCAATAACCAGCCGTTTTCCCTCGGTTTCTGAAGGTTCTCTAGAAAGATTCGGATTCCTGGAAAGAATGGACATGGAAGGCACCCCTAGAAAAGTGGCGGTTCCACCCCCTGGCAGGCGCTGGAGGCCATGGTGGTGTTCCTAGAGCGGCCCGGCGACTTTTTGATTTTTGGACCGCCCGAGGGCCGAAGGTTGCGTCAAGCGCAAGGCGTCGGCTCTCGAGGCCAGTTTCGGACTTGAGCCACTTTTGAGTGGCAAAGCAAAACGTGTGGTCGCTTTTTGTTTGGGCCATCTTTGGAGGGCACCTTTGTTCGAGTGTGGTGGGAATCGGTACTTTCAATGGAGACAACAGAACACCGCCCATAGCACGCTCATGACACCCACCAATGAAAGGAGACCACAATTCATGTGGCTATGAATTGAAATGCGATGCAGACTGCAGCTTGGGACAGCTCTTGGAAATCACGGCCTAATTTTGCCGAGGATGGGACAGACCGCTCAAAAGGAGACCAAGTTCGTGGGGTTTTAGCTCGTCGCGCGGTGTCAGTAGGGCTTGTGGGCAGCACAACTAAGTTGCCTGTCGACTTGAAGCCCCTTTGAATTCTCACTTGGTGAGGCGGGCCCAAAGACACCACCTTAATTAATGCAATGTGTTTAAGTCTTCTCCTGCAGGATCTCCAAATGGGATGGATGTGTGCGGTTTTACTGAGCGCCTACCAGGATTTTTGTTTTATTTCTCTAGTTTGGGCCACCCGGCAAATCCGCACTGCTCCGAGGTAGTGTTCGGGTGCTAAGCGTGGCAAGGATTTGACTCGGTGGTGCCCAGCGACCCCCTTGGTGGTTTTTATTTGGCCCTTTCGTTCCTGCGTGCTGAGGCTTTTTGCTGGGAACCCCAGGCATCTCCTGAGGTTTTTGGCCTTGTAGTTGGTTTAGTGGCCGCGTTTCCGCGTTTAACCCACTAGTTAGTCACTTTGAGCAGCACCCCCCTTAGGTTTGTAGTGCTTTTGTAGTTGGAAAAGCGTTTGGGTTCCGTATGTAACCCACGAAAAGGCAGCCACAAGCAGCTCAGAAAACGGGCAGCCCAGGCACCGCTACTATGGCTCCTCCAGGTGGGGCCTGGGAGCCAGATGTTGTGTTCCCGGTCTTCTCGGCCGATGTTTTCTTTGCACGTGTATCCTCCCACCAACTGACAGGGGTTAGTGCAAAAAGGCGTTTTCCAAGCGGAACGACTCGTCTTTCTACAGGGCATCTATGCACAAACCCAGGCTAGCTGGTGGGAGGGTAGTGGGGGGTGATCAAACGGTTCTTTGCATGGGATGGCCAATGGGATGAAACACGACGAAACAGAGGATGTGTCCCGCTAGATGGGCAAAGTTAGATTTGGGGGGCCAGGAATTTTGCTCAACACCCAAGGCTTCAAGAAACCAGTCACAAGAGTCTAACGCATCGAATCTTCGCTTGTTGCCCCGCAAGCTAACTTAGCTCCTGTGTGACATGGGAGGCCAAGCAGCGATCTGCGGTTCCTCACTTTGGAGCCGAAGTCCAATGGCATCCTTTACGTTTTGCTTTGGTCTTTTCTTGTATTTGCTGTTTGCGCGCTCTCATTTAGTTCTTCTTTTTCTCCTTTTTTTTGGGTTGGGGGGGGAGGAGGGTAGGGAAAGGGGATGGTTTTCGTTGAACATCTCGAAAATGGGTTCAACGCAAAAGACAAATCGGCGGGCGTCCCCCGTTTTTCTTTTTTGAGGAGCAGGCCCTGGCGGACACCGCGTGGTTTTTGGAGGGTCTCCGGCGGCGGCTGGGCTGCGGAGAGCGGGAGTGCCCGGTGGTGACCTTTGGAGGACGGGGGTTCCGCGGGAGGGGGCGGTAGGGAGAAGTTTCCCGGCCCGTTGGCTGAAATGAATAGGTCTTATGTTTCGTGGTTTTGGTTTAAATGGAACCCACCATTTTTGTGAGTTTCCACTTTTTCGGTTTTCAAGGGAACTGACCACTACTGGAAATAGATTCTCATTTTTGTCCGTTTAGCAGGGGATCTGGGCTGCAGGGTCATCATGTTTTCCGAAAGGTTGGGGCGAGCGCTCCTTTGACTGAAGCCTTGGAGTGTTCCGCGCCCGGCGCTTCAGGGATGGTAGCAAGAAGCAGTCCCTCACGGCATCTTCCCCATGCTTGACCCAGTTTTGCAGTGGCAAATGGCTCCCTTGGACTGGCGGCTTCACTAAGAATAGGATTACACCCAGAGGAGAGGGTCTCTTCCATGGTCACTTCAGCACTGCTTCCCCAGCCTCAGGCAGCTACGGGGGCATGATGGTGGCCTGGTTCCGGCAGAAGTACCCTCACCTCACCGCTGGCGGTTTGGCCTCCTCTGCTCCCATCGACTTCTACCCCAACGAGCCTCGCACAATTCGTCGGGTCTCGGCCATGGCAACTTGAGCAGGGCATGCCTTTGCCTGATCTGAATCAGGGGTTGACTTGAGCAAATTCTGGCCCTTTCTAGTTTCAAGCTGCGGCATTGGAGCGCCAGCCCTTCTTATCCTTTTTACCCCTCCCCCGCGCGTTCTTGAAAGCAGCATGTGCAAAGCATACATCACACATTGACCCCTTGCAATGATGGCCTGTTCCCTTTGATATCCTTTGATGTTTTTTCATTGAATTGGATTGCCCTGGAGCGGCAGGTTGAGATTCGGATACGTAAAGGAAGCAAGTTCCCAGGATGGACGGCAGGAGGCCTTCTGGAACGCCACGATGCACACCTTCCGCTTCTTTGGCAGCGAGGGCTGCCCCGGAGAGGTGGACAAGGCCTCGGTTTTTTGACTCACCGAGGGGGGAAAAAACGTGCAGAGACGCGGCAAACGCTCTGCAAACTGGGGACCCCATTTCTTGGTGGTCCAACTCAGTCTAGATCTTTTCAGTTGGTGTAGCGGTTGGGTTTCCATTTCACCCCAAAGTTGTGGTTTTTCTCATGGTCGCCCATCCAAAAAGGGCATCCTCAAAAAAGCACACACACACACACATGCACCCACATGATCTAGAACAAGAGAGCCTAAGCCAAGTGGATGCTCTCAAAAGCCTTTCAACTCGTGCCAAAACATGGAATCTTCCCACCCAGTTTTGTGGGTACTTTCGCACGCCTGTTGCCTAAATCATCAGGTAACCCCTAGGTGGTTTGGATTGGTTTGGGGATTTGAACCCCGTGGTTCTTGTGGGTACATGGGAACTACCCTCCACCAAACCACCGGGCTCCAGACCACCAATTAGGGGGAAGCCCCGCTCCAGTCAGAGATTTCCTGCGTTGCACGTTTGGACTAACATCCCCCAGGCCGGTGGAGAAATGTCTAAGGCATCGCTTCACGCGTTAAAGGCCTTGCGTTTCGGTGACTCCAAGCATGCCAGACTAACTTGCTTCACCTCCCTGTCTCGTGGTGAATGTTTCCTTTGGTCCGGCCTTTCACTGAGTTGCTGAGATTCCTGTCCTCTTGACTGCTATTGGGTTGGATCCTTAGACTTCAACTTTTTGGGAAATCAAGGGGTGTTCCACTAAACCCCCCAAAAAGTTAAACTTTTTGCAGGGGGGTCAACAGCAACCAAGTCCTTAGGTGTTTGGCTTTTTCTCCTCAGGCGCTTGGACTTCTGCAGCAGCAGAGCCAAGATGCGGCAGGCCGGGTGGGTTGGATGGCCGGAGGGTTGCCTTAATCTACTTTACTGCTGTTGGCAAGTGTTTAGGGGGCTACCAAGAACAAGTTTTGTTTTGCTACCATGCCAAGGGTGGGAAAGCTTAAGTCAACGCACCATTGCGTCTGCAGAAATTGCAACAAGCTCACCCAGTGAAACGAGCTGCCCTAGAAAGGTGGCGCTGGTGTGGTGAGGTTTTTGGTGGTTTTTGCAATGACCCCGAGGTCCTGCTCTTGCCTCCTTTGAGCATGCCTTGGTTTTTCAAGCTTGTCGCCTTCCACAGGCTTAAGTAGGAAGCATTCCATGTTGAGTCGTCCCATTCGCTCACCCAAAGGTACCCAAGGCGGCCATTTGGCTGCACATTTTACGTCGAGCGAGCTTGCCATGGTAAAGACCCTTTGCTTGGGGATCCAATTCTTAATTCGGCTTTTGGAAATACGTTAAAATTGGCAGACTCTGGTGGTTGCTGGCTTCGTATCATGGTGGATCCCTTGAAGCTTTTGGTAATAGTGTTTTAAAACAAATGCGGAATCTGGTGGGACCCGCCGCTTTGGTAGCGGGTCCCCTCCCAACGGGTCACCTTCCGGCCTTCGGGCCGCGAGGTCGACGGCAGATCTCCGAGGCTCTGGGCAGCTGCGAGGATTTGGAGAACGAGACCACTGCGGGCGCCAAGGCGAGGCGTCGAACCCCGCACCATCGGTCTCCTCATTTTCTTGCTGGTGCCTTTCGGCAGGGAATGCGAAATGGAAGGACCCCTCAAGACCATCCAACTAGTGGTTTCCTTTGAGGGGGACCAAAGCCTGGAAGAAGATGGACCCCAGAGTTGGGCTAAGACAGGCGTGTTCAGTTCCCGACAGGTTTGAAAGGGAAGAATTATCTTCTCAGTTGCCCAAAGCCGACCTTTGAACTCTTTGGCAACTTTGGTTTTCCTCTTTTTGTTTTTTTTCTCCCTCGTAAAGGTTCAAAAGGTTTGCCCTTCAATGTCTGGTTCCTTTCGGCAACTGAATCTTGCAGCACTGCCTTACCTTTCTGGCAGCTGGGCACATCTAAACAGGGGGAAATTTACGATTTGTCCGACCGAGCCAGGCCTGGGTTCGTTCCTAAGACGAGCATGACATCCCAGTCGGGCGATGGCCGATTTTGAGTTGTACTCCGATGGCTGGTTTCCCTTCTGTGAAGACATCCGTTTTTGGTGAACTTCCATTTGCTGAAATGACATTTTTTTGCTTTCCCCTTTTACTTTTTTTTTGGAGTTTGAGGAGAATCTATCACCACTGGACACATTTGTTTCTAGGCAACTCAGGCAAATGGAGGTGAACTGCGCCCACGCCTACTCACGCGAGTTCGTCATTTTTGCGTTGTTCATTGTCATTTGGGTGCAGGTCAAAAATAGGTACTCAAAATGGGTTGCCCTGGTGAATGGAAACAAGGACTAACACCTGCGGTCCATATCCTGGTGGATTGATTTTGACCCATACCCATCTTTCAAGGAGAGGTTCCAAGTATTTGAGCATGACATAGTAGCACCCTGAACCTTCCAGCTCATGGCCAAAAACAACGGAGAACGGGGAAAAAACAACACAAACAAAAAGGCGAGCAATTGCCCCCGGAGACGGAGGACCCAGGCCGGGGGAAAGCTGAACGCTCGGCTCGGTAGCCCGGTAGCCGCCATTCGCATCCGCGCCTTCGAGGTGGACTTCTTCCTGCGAGGAGTCTTCGCCACGCTGGCGATGCTCGACTACCCGGCACCCTGGCGATGGCCGTGGTTGTCAAAGCCGTTTTGGGATCCCGTTTTGGTTGGTAGGTGAATTCACCACCCATTTTGGAACCTATTTTAGTGGAGATTGGGATGTTTACTGGGGGTACGATTTGGAGTTTGACCTATGGCCAAATGTGGCAGGAGCAGGAGGTGTGTTTGCTGGCTGTATGGTTTTGGGCATGGAATAGCACATAAAGAAGCCATGTGCAAATTTATGAGCTATACTCAGCACTGTGAGTTGATTGCATTGAGGGAGGGCCAAACAGATTTCATTTATGTGTTACATACATATATATATATATATATATAATATGTATATAGTAACTATCCATATTTGCTTTGCAGAACCCCACATCCAAGTGTAGCATCCCAGCAGGGTGCATACTAAAGCATGCTGATGGGGGGTCTATGTGGGCACGGGGAGGCCTCAAGATTTACAGGCCGAGCGATAGGCGCAGGGCCCATGGCCTGGCCAGGCAAAGTTGGGCTAAGCAGGAGGGGGGCTGGATGTTCAGATGATCCTTGGTGGTTCCCGATTCCCATTTGGTTCCTTAGGCTTTTAGTTGTTTTGATTCTTGGTTGACTGGGGTTTCCGTATTTAATCCACTAGCAGTTGGTCGCTTTTAGTTGGGGAGCTGAGCAAGGGTCCACAATTGCCATGGGACACCCCATGGCCCATGACAAAAACTGGGCGGCTCCAAATCAATCCAGAATCCTTGTGCCAGATGGCGGTTCCCCTTAGCGGCGCCCACGCCGGATTGCGGATTGCCCTCTTTCAAATCAACACGGAACCCATTTCAATGATACTCCCAAAGGATGTTCCTTGCTTGCAAGGCCGGAGGGAGCTCAACCACAAGAAACAAACGACCTAAATTCAATGATTCAACCCCGTTTTTGTCGGTCCTCCCAACAAAATATTCCTCAAAAATGCAAATTTAATGCTTCCATTTATTTTGCAAAGAGCAAAACTTGGGGATTCTTCATGAACCTGATCTTCCCTTGATCCCAGCCCCGGTTCCGCGGGTCGAAGGTGGCGAGCAACTTCGTGACGCTGCTGCCGGCCAACCCGGCGAAGGTGGCCTGCCAGCGCCTCCAGAGCTCCACGGAGCCATGGCCCCGTTGCGGGTCGGCGGTTTGTCGGTCGGCTACGAGGTGACCCAGTGACCCCCCCCCCCCTCCCCCAAAAAAAAGCAAAAGACAAAAGCAAACAAAACAACAACACGACAACAACGGTGCTGTGAGAAACTCGTGACCTTTTTTTTCATGTTTCAGGCTGTTGTTTCAAGACCCTCTGCCCCCAAGAGCACTTCGTACAACCAAGCTTTTGTCAGCGTTCTTAGAGACGCACCACACGGGGTGAACACCCCAAAGACAAGAATGCCAAGAGTAGCTATGTTCGGGAGCGGTCGGAAGCCAGGCTTAAGCCACTGAGGACTTGCGGGGCCTGCGCCGGGTGGTGGATTTGTTCCTCAACGCCACGGGGAGTTACCGCTGCTACGACTACTTGGCGGAGATGGTGGGCCGCGCCACGTCGGGGCAGCTGCATGGGCCCACCACCTTGCCGGACATGGGGCACTGGCAGTACCAGGCCTGCAATGAGAGCCTCGGCGCAAATGCCTTGGATGGGAGGGCTGAGAGATGCCGATGTTGGGTCAACAGACTGCCTGGAAAACTTGGTGGCTCCCAGCCATCCGGTTAGATTTTGTTGGCTTTTTGGGGATTCGTGGTTGAGTTTCCATTTCGCCCACCAACAGTCAAACTTTCAGCAGGGGATTTGAGGCCAGCCCAGAAAAGACATAGTTTTAGTATTTCTGAGGTTTGTTTGAGGGTTAAAGAAATGTGTTTATAGAGATTTGAGCGGAGCACCAAACGATTCACCCTCTTTGACTCTTTTTTTTTTGGGGGGGGGACTAGGGCCATCACTGAGCATGAAGAATCTGCAGCAGGAAGGTTGTTGTGTTTTTAGTCGAATTTCAACATGGACTGCCTGAACCAATTCGTTGCGTTTGGATGCATTGGTGCAACCCATGCATAGGTGTTTACTCGTTTGGGATTGCGCAAGGTGCGAGCAACAAGGGTCCGATCAGGAGATGATTCCACCACGCGAATTTCAATCAGGGATTTGAGGAGCGACAGTGTCCCATATTGCGACAAATGCATTGGGGCGTCGCAGAATCTTAACCCTGATTCCGTCTTGGATGTTTGAAAATCAATGCTCCGATTCGTCCTCAAGAGCATGCGGCGCTCATTTCATTCAGTCATACTGACGGACCCTGCAGACCACCCCCGCAAACAGTCAAGTGTCAGCAGGCCTTAGTAGAGGGAAGCAAGATCAGGCCAAAACGGTTCGGTGGGTGAATGTCTCTTATCCCTGATGCCACGGCCGCGGCGTGGGGTGTTTTTTTTCTCCTCAGGATGCCCATGCAGTCCTTGACCAGCGATGGCATGGGCTTCTATCCCGCCAAGGACGCGGCTGAGAAAGCCACGGGGCGCCGCAAAGTTGACCAATCTGATGAATCAACCCCAGTCAAATTCATATGGGGCGGGGCGGGCCCTCAAAAGTGATCATTTCCCACCAAGCCCAGGGAAACCATCCTATTATTAAACAGGGGTTGATCAATATGGGGTCAACATTACTGCATCCTGACGTGACGAGGCAGCAGCGCTGTATGACTTGAATGTTAAGCCACATGCATTGCGTGGGCCGTATTGGTTGAGGAGCAGGGTTCCAGTGCGGTTGAGTTGATGGTCGCCATGTTAATTGAGAACATTGGGACACTTGCAAAGGGGGATCCAACTTGCGCCATGAGAAAACCCTCGTTTGTTTTTCCCAAACTTGGGGCTGGGGTCTGCCTGTTCTTGCGCATGTCTTTTCACGGGGGGCCTGGGGTCTGCCTGTGTTATCCCCACGCCCTTCAAAATGGAGTTGGGGGAGGGGGGATTTCGACCCCTGGAATTCCATTTGGGGTGAACCATTTTCCCTTTGGTGAAGAGAAATGGAATTGTGGGACCCCCCACCCCCCTCCCCCTTAAGGTAGGGGGGATGTTTTCCAATTTCTTTGGTCGCCAAGCCTGGTCCTCTCCAGCAGGACTCGCAGCTCGCGGAGGTGGCGGACAGCTGCTATCTGCGCTACGGCCTGCGCCCGAGGACGACGGTGGGGTCGGCGCGCCAAAACGCCGCGCTTGTCAGTCGGGTGGGTTTGGCTTTTCGCCTCACTTCCGGGGGTCCGTTTCGGATTTTACGCACAGACGAGAGGTGCTGGGCTTCAGTCGTTTTTTGGGATTGGACCATTTTAGGGGCAAATCAAAAGCTCGGTGGTTTTTCTGGGCCATGCACTCGGGAAGTGAGTAGCCAATCCGAGGTGGGAAGTAGGCAGATGGAAAAGGGGCCAGCTGCCCCCGTGAAAACTGAAGGTAAAGCAAACCACAGTTCGGTCTTTGTCGCCCACAACGGTGCAAGCGGTTTTGGGCTGCGAACAAATATTCCACGGATCCTAAGTTGCGCTTGGCCGAGGAAAGTGGGCCGGTACTGCTGCACCACCCCTTTCCAGAAAGCAAACTCATCCCATGTCATCGAAGTGAACGAAGGGAGGTCTTTCAGAAGCGACCGGCCCCTCTTGCTCATGTGAGACGTGGTGTGTCGTGCTCGAAGATGCATTGTCACTGCGCACACTGGTCTTCCCTCGGAGTCTAAAAGGTTGACACTTGGTTGCAGGCATTCTCGGTGTCCCAAAAGACGAACAAATACTTCCGGATCTGTTGGAGTAGTGGGTCGTGAGTCCTGGTCTACTAATTTACGCCAAAACCAGGTCGTGGTTTCCATTTACTTTAGAAAGTTCGCTGGGGTAGACTTCGGGACATTTCACATGTTGAGTGACTCAAATTGAAGCAAGCAGTAAAACATATACGGCCTAACTCTACTCATGATCCGAATTTGGCTGGCCCTTCAAAGGGCCTCCCCTACTAAAATAGACGTCCTGAAAAAAGTCGGATACCAACTTGTTCTGACCTCTCAAATCTGGGGGAAGGGGCAACCCCAAACCCCAAGCTCGGAGGACGGCTTGGCTCGGGGTCAGCTTGGGCGGCAGCCGGCTGCACGTGGGGCAGCTGCTCTTCACCGACGGGGAGAAGGACCCCTGGCGCGCCGGGACCCCCAAGGCCTCCCGGATCCCCAGCGGCGTGGACATCGCGCCTGCGGCAGAAGTCGGGGAAGACGCGGCGTAGCCTGGGACGTTTTTGTTGTTGTTTTTTTTTGGGGGGGGGAACTCGGACACCGTTGGGAGAGGGGCTTGGAAGGCCGATGCTAGGTCGATGATAGGTTTTTTTTGGGGGGAACATCGAAAGCCATTGGGGACACAACCCTGACAGGGGCTGGAAGGCCGATCACCAGTTTTATTGATGTGCGATTTGACGGGTGAGGGCAAAACCGACAGCACACACCATCCATGTAGAGAGGGGCCCCCGCACCCCTAAGCCCAAACAGACCAAAGACCAAAGTGGAGTGAAGGACCTCTTGGCTCTTCGGAAGGTTTTCAGGGCCCCAGGTATGCGAATTAATCACAGTAGGCAAGTCAAACACTGGTAAGGGTCTTGCAAGTTTCAATCGTCGGAGGTGAGGACATACCCCAAGCTAGACAGGCGCCTGGAGCAAGATGGAGCAAGCCAGGCCCCCTGACACCTGTGTCCCTTCACAAGTTCTGGAGGTCTCTTGTTGGCCCCTAGCAGCGGAAAATCAAGTCATTTTCTTATAGTCCTTTGGGTTCCGAAGCTAAACCCGTTGACAACCATGTGGGTAGGTTTTTTGGGGCATCCTTTTTTGGATTTGTTTGGTGGCTTTTAAAAAGGGAAGCCAGTTTTTGGCGGGGGGGGACCCCCAAAAGACGCCCATGCTGTTCAACGGCTATCCTTAATCCTCACCTTGGGTTACGCAAAGCTTCCATTTGCCTCAGAATATGTTTGTTGTTTCATCTCTTGGTTTTAAAGGGAATCTATCACTATACAGGGTTTCTATTTATTGTTGTTATTATTATTATTATTATTCTTATTATTAAAACCAAAAAAGATTTCTCTAGAACACTGAAAAAGCCGGGGGCTTAAGCGAAATGGAAAGGGTCCGGTTGGGAGCCGCTTCAGGTCCAGCACCTCATCCCCGCGGCGGCCCACCACGAGGACCTCCGCTTCGACGCCTCGCCGCCGCGGGCCGCGGTGCTCGAGGCGAAGCGCCTGGCGCGGCGCCTGGTGGCGCGGTGGGCCGCGGACTTCCGGCGCGGCGGCGGAAGCGGCGCCGGCGGCGGCTGGGTGGTCTGAGGAGGCGGGCAACTGGGATGCGGGTTGGAGTGGGTGGGGGGGGGAAAGGGGTGGCTAAGTTCCTGAACTTTAATCGTGTTTTGGGGGTGGGTTGGGGGGGGGAAGGGGGTTGGCTGAGTTCCTGGTTTGGATTGGGGGGGGTTTGGGGGGGGGCTTGGCTGAGTTCCGTTTCGGACTTGAGTCACGGTTTGGGTTTGGATTTTGGTGGTAAACCAAAAGTTTCGCTTGTTTGGCCCCAGCCGCCCACGAAGGTGAGTTGGAGGTCCCCCGGCAAATGAACGAATGGAAGCCTTCCTTTTGGGGGTCCCCAAAAGAAGTTGGTTTTTCTCCTCAGGATGGCCTTTTGTTTTCCACGTTGATTTGCAGGGGTTCTCTTGTTACTTGCTTGTTCAGCTAGGGGGAACTTTTTCAAAGACCGGGGTGCACATATGAATGACAAAGTGGGGGCAAAATCCACAGTCACAGCCACCATTGTCAGAACGAGGGAGGACGGGTAAGTGCTTTCTGCCCAGTAGATCTTGCGATGTTTGATGTTGAGAGGCATCACTTTCTTTTCCTATTGTTGTAGGCCCCCCCCCCCCCCCACCCCCGGCCCTCCAATCCCAACAGGGCCTAATAGTGACTAAAAGGGCCTAAAAGGGGCGACTAGAGTTCCTTTTCGAGGGCCCCGACTTTTTTTGGGGCCCCGGCCCCTGACAACCATAGGATATTTAGTGGGGCAAATGGCCCCTCTACCTGCGTTCCAGAGGTCGCCGCTAGATCTTGCGACGCTGGGCCAGGACTTTTGCAGGCTGGTGATGCCGGCTGGGCGCGAGTTAGTGCGACTTGGAGTGCCGGCGTTTGACTATTTCGTTGATGCGCGTTTGAATTCTGCCTCTGCTCGCCCGCATGCACTGATATGCCCTTCCATTGCGACAACACTTGTTTGCAGCATCGTCAGAAGGGCGTCGTTTCAAGTGGCGAGCCAGCGCAGGCTGAGGTGAGCTCGAGGGGCACAAAAATGCTCCGAGTTTAAACCCGCAGTTGAGGCAAAACGGCGCGCCCCACTCAACTTCTCACGGGGCTCGGTTTGGTGCTTTCTGACATAGGTCTCCTTTTAGGTTAGCTTGGATAGGGCTTTGTTCCATCTACCAGGGAAGCCCATCTATTCCAGAAGGACGCATCAGACACCAGTGACAGGATCCCTCACCATGGATGGGAGCCTGTAGTGATTTGTCCCTGGTAGTTCAATTGTCAATCCCCGATCCTTGCGCCAGATGCTTGCCAGTTTCGCTTGCAGAATCCCAAACCCCTCCCCCCCCTTCCACTCTGAAAGGGGTGTTGCGCAAATTCATTGCATCCTCGCAAAAGTCGCGTGCCAAAGGCTGACACTCTGCAAGTGCTTGAGCTACGACCACTTGGTGGGGATGCCCCAGTTCGCTGAGAGCGATGTTGGCGGAGGGGGCTCTTGTCATGGGAGGGACCTTGAGGTTTGTGACTTTTGGCGTGTTGCATTTTCCAGCACGCATTGCTGGCAGGCTTGGTCCAGTTTTCAGTCTGGATTCTACTGCTCAGTTGTTCAAAGCCGACCTTTTGCCCTTTTGGTTTTCCCTGTTTGGTCTATTTTTAGTAGGGGTTTCAAAAGGTTAACCTTTTACTGATGGGTCCTTTGGGCAAGTGAGACTGTGCTAGTGTCCCAATTCCAAATGCATCAGCTGGGCTGAACTCTGAATCAGGTGTGTGTTCTTGCATGTGGTGGTCTAGTCAGCGGGAACGCAGAAACCCAGGTCTCCCCTTGCAAGACTGAGTCCAGGCGACCGTTTGCTGAAGCTTTGGCTGAGGTCAATGACCTCGAGGCGTTGATCTCCAAGAAGGGGTGCGGCCCGCTTCTGCCCGGACCTCAGCTGGAACATGGCAGTCAGGGCGTCGTGTGGTAGGATGTGACGTGGTGAGGAGCTGTAGGGGAGATGCCACTGATGCAGATGCAAATTGTTTGGTTCAATGCCATGGCAATGCAGTGGGATGGGCATGACATGCTTGAGCTCTTCACAGGTCTGGCCAGGTGTCAGATCGAACACTTGGACGAGTTGTGGTAAGTGCTTCGGTGAACCGTGTCCTTTTTGTGGAGGGGACCCCCAAAATGGATTTAGCTTTTCCTCTTGGTTTCCCTCTACTTTCATTTGCTAAAGAATATGTGTTATGTTCCCCTGTTGGTTTTAAAGGGAATCTATCACCCTGGGCATATGTTCTTTTTTTTCCAGGGGGATTCAGCAAATGGAAGCTTAAGACCAACCAAAAAGAGGTACCAACTAAAAAAAAACACAAACAGACCCAGGCATGGCTTGTTCCAGCGGTGAGGAGGCCATCAGGTGCACCGATTCGCTCGGCACCCAGGATTCGCTTGTCCTGGCACGACGCCGGCGTCTTCAACGGCGCGCATGCATCGGGCCAGATGCAGTGGGGGGTAATCCTTTTGGGACTCAGCGAAACTAGGTCCCCCAGTAGTGCCCTTTTACCAACTTTTTTGGGGGAGGGTTCCCCTACTAAAATAGGCCACAGAAAAAAGGGTAGCCTTAGTCTAACCTCTCTACTGGAGGACCTAGTAAAAGCGGACCTCCGTTGCGCCATTTCATGCAAGTGCCAGCTTGAGGTGACATGTTTTGTCCCAGACTGTTTGGGTCGGAGTCGATTCATGCTTCTATAGAGGGTCCGTGCGTGCACGCCAGCCATCCGGAAAACCAGAGGAACGGACTAAGCTGCTCAACGCGGCGGGTCAGGATCGTAGCAGGATCTATTGCTGCCGCTTCTGTCGATGCAGTGAAACGTATTTGACCAGCTTGTGGTCATCATTGGTTTAGATAGGTGGTCGGAACGGTAGGCCTGAGGCAGGGGTTACGTTGCTCTTTGGCTAGATCGGGTCAATCATCACCTCGAATTGTGCACTCGTCAAAGTGTGCAAGCCTCGGGTTTGAACCTTTGTGGATTCCCCGGATCCCTGCACAAAGCTCTGCTTCGTGTTTGTTGGTTGTTTGCGGGTTATTTTGTTGGTGATGTTTATTCGTTTGTTGTAAGCTTTGTTGGTTGATATGTGTTTTGCTTTGCTTTGCGTCGCTTCATGTTTGCTTGTATTCTTCGATTTGTTCAGTTGTTTGTTCGCTTGCTTACCCGACTCGAAACGTTGTTGCTTTTTAAAGGCCGAAAACTGCCGATCATCGCCAGGTGTGGATGGCTGCCCGAATGCCGCAATGCGCTTCTCAGGCTCTGCCCGAAAAAGCGCGGGGACATTGGTTTCATTTGTTGAACTTTCATTTGTAGGAATATTTGTTATTCCCCCTGTGGGTGTTAAAGGGAATCTATCACTACTCGAATTATCTTCTTTTTCTTTTCAGGGGATTTAAGCAAATGGAGGTTAACCAAAACAGAGCCAGTTTGGCGTGATTTGAAGCAGAGGGAGGTTGTGGGGATTTTGGGACACTCAAGAGTTAATCCCCCAAAATCCCCAACCTCAGCATTTCGGGATTGACCCCTCAAGCGGGGGCCTCTGCATTTTGTATTGATGCACTACGGTTCTTGGGGCAAGCATGTCGCCACCCATGTCTCCCGCAGCTGTGTTTATGACGTTCCCCGGGTTTCGACGAGTTCCGTTTCAAGTTCTGGGAATGCCTGAGAGGGAAGGGGCCACGAATTACAACTCTGGTTGGTCAGCTCAACTTGGAGGATCGTGGTGGTTACTTGAACTTCCACCCGGGAAAAGAAATGCCTTCAACGGACTTCAACTTCTGGGCCGTATTGCGCCCGGCCTGGACAATCCGAACAGGTCCCTCCAGCTTAGAGGGGCCCTCCCTCAGAAAGCGAACGCCTTTCCGCGAAGGCGAGGATCCTCCATTCCAGTTGTGTTGCCTCCAATATGTGTGTTTTCTTCTTTAAAAAGTCTAGAGAGCAAAAAGTTAAAATGGAGGTCAAACAAGCAATGTGGCCAATAGACTTTGTCTTGTCAGTGTCTGTCCCTCCTGCTGCCCGATGCTGTCCCCCATCCATCCCTTCCCCAAAATGCAAAGTAGGGGGCACCCATGGCCACTCACCCAATTGATGGATATGAATGTAAACCAATCCTGTTTCCTCCCCCCCAAAAAAAAGAAAGAAAGAAGGAAGCAACAAAAACATACGGCCCCCCAAAGACGATATTTCCCTTGGGACATAATTATATCTGTTGATATTGGCGTTGGCTGAGTTCTGGTTTGGTACTGTAAATGGTGCAGTTTCGGGTAAGTATTGGTTCTACAGCATCCCCTAATACGACTGGACTTGGGGGCGGCGGGAGATGTGTTGGTTTAGGATTTCAGAAAAATGACTGACACCTCCAACATCAACATGAACTTCGCAGAACATGTGTCTTTCATTCCCATTTGTCAGATTTGCCACCATAAATTTCCAGGTAAGCGATGTCAAATGTTCTGCCTTCCAGTTGGTAGAACGGAGTTGTGGGCGGATTGCTACCTTGTTGTGATGATTGTTGCAGTTGTTAGTTGTTAGACTGGCTGTCAGATTGGTTTGCACGGCCTGTTCCAGGTGTTATGCCCACAAAAGCCCCTGGGTTCCGACGTGAAGGTGTGGGGTGGGGTGTGGGGTGTGTGGGTGGTGTGTGTGGGGTGTGGGGTGTGTGGGTGGGGTGTGTGGGTGTGTGTGCGGGTGGGGGGTCCGATGCCTGGCCTTGTGAAGTTCCAGGCGAAGGCGAGAATTGCCTGGCCGCCAATGCGGGACTGCCGCGCGCCTGCAGCGGGGGACAGCGGGGTTGGAAGGAGTGGCTCGGGCTGGCTGGGGTATATTGGTGGCATAAAAACCTAACCGCCAAAGCCTGTTTTTGGAAAGTGGTGTTGTGCCGCTGCAAGGCCAACAAGGGCCCCTTGATTTATGAGTGAGGGAGGGGGTTATTTTCTGGACTTTGCGTCTAATAATTTAATTGGGCTGGGCAAGGCCTAATGTTTGCCTCCTGTTTCCATTTCCTGCGAGAAGTTGTGTTT